TGATATAATTCGTAAAGATTAGTAATACTGCATAAATTTAAATTAATATAATTTCCAAATTTATCTATATTAATTTAAATATAAAAATATGGGAAAATTATTAATACTACATTTACCTATCTACTTTTGTTTTTTTTTAAATTATTTGTTTTATATATAATATTAATTTATTACCTATCTACGCTTTTTTTTTTCTAACTTTGATTGTGTATTTTAGTTTTATATATAATATAGATAAAAGCAAAAAGTCAAATTATTATAAATAAAAAACGGAAAGATGGCAATATGGCATCGAGCAATATAATATTTATCTACCGGAAAATAATTGGTATGTAATGATTTTAAATGAATCTCGTTTCTATGAATATTGTTACTAATATACATATAAAGCTACCATTTATTTTTCGTAATTTGATCTAACATCGGGGGTTGACCGTAATCTACCATATAATTCTTAATTACAAACTCACTCACGTTGCCATTTTTTCTATTTCCAATTAGGTGATTTTCCCAATGAAACTGTCCCAAGTTGAATTTATGTTGTAATGATTAAGAAGGTTTTGGGCAAATTGTGGAGAATAACAATGATACTGACATTTTTTTTGTGCCTGATATAGTCTTCTGCGTATGGCACCAAAATCAGAGTTTATGGGAATTGGAATTCAATCCAGAATCCGCCATCACTCCCGATTTGAATCCTCTTCAAAATTCATTTGATTGGTCAAAATCAGTTTTTTTTTTAAATCCAATTGCCAAATTTATCTCCTTAAGATGATATTTATATATATATATATTTAATTTTGAAGTTTGTGACGCATAGTGGGTCTTTTCTTTATATTAGCAATACTATATAGGGGTTGTATTATAATTTCTACAAAGTTATGTGTCATTAATGCAATTAAAAAACATAGTTATGTTCTTAAATTGGATAAAAATTAATTTTGTGTTATCTTGTTTATGTCGATAATAAAAAAAAATCTAATGTTAATATGACTTAAATTTGATTACAGGAAATACATAGTAAAATAACTAAGAACTTAAATTTAATAATATGTTGATTGTAAAATAAATAAGAATATAAATCTTTAGTTCATATGTATAACATCATATATAACTCATATATGTATAACATATATGATTCGTCACTGGGGTCTAACACGTTTGATACACTCACAACACCGCCAAGAAGATATGGTAGAGTCATTCCAATCTATTGTATCAAAATTAGATACACAAAAAATATGCATGAACTCCTCGCAATCCACACAACTGAAAAAAAATGTAAAACATACACATTGTTCCCCAAAAACGAAGAAGGCAATTTGATGCGTTTTTCGATTTGAGACTTTTTCATGTCTTCTTGTAGTACCACATCTTGCATTCCTTCATGAATTTCGGAAGATAAATCTTTCCGCAAACGACCTAATTCGAATATCTAATAAAAAAGTAAAATTAACAATTAAGTATGAAAGATAAAGGAAATTGGTAACTATTAAACGGAAAACCATACAAAATATATATATAGGGTATAAACAATCAAAAATTACGGTATAAACTAATCGAATATTAACTAAATAATGAAAGAATGGAATTAGAGTATACAACCTTTTTTCTTGCCGTGTGCTTTGTTATATGAATGAGAAATAATGGATGTGGAGTGAGGTATTTATACTTAGGTTTTATGTAATAAAAGGTAAATAGTATACATATTTAAGGAAATCGGTTATATGCATTAAATTGATACAATTAAAATTATTTTATTTTAGAATATAAGAATAATAATTGAATATATTATGGATTGAGGAATATATTGTTACTAAAATAGTGTGAGATTTATTAATTATAATATATAATTACATATATATATTACGGATTTTAATTGGTATTAGATGACAAAATTAATCATTACCATAATAATCTATATAATATTAAGGAAATATATAATTGTCAAAAAAATGTCATTTTCTAATAAAAAATGACAAAATTAATCATTACCATAATAACCTATATAATTTTTCTTTTAATAAAAAGAAAGATTTTCTAATTGGAATAAAATAAAATATTAATAATATTTCTTTATTAAATATAAAAATATTTTTACTACGCAACTCACGTAGTATGAATATATCTCTATTAATAGAGTGGTAATAACTAATAATTGTCCTTAATTATAATAAGAATTCCTTAATTTCTTAGTATACACTTATTGAAATTAATTTCTTAACGTAATGTATGCCGTAATTTAGGTATTAAATTTATAATAATATACAATTAATTACAATATAATTAAATCCGTATTAATTTAAAACTATTAATTCCATAATAACTTCCATAATTTCGAATAAATATCCACAATTTAAGATCACTACCGTAAATAATATGCATTGATTCCAATTTACTAAATAATGTTTGATTTATTCCGATTCTTGCAATCAAATCCGATTTTGAAAGTGAAGTTATTTATGGTATATGTAATGACATATGGGCAATGACTGGGATGTCTACATGGACGCCTACGTGGATGACAAATGTCGAAATTCTAGGCTATGAGGGTTTCAATTTATATATTATATAGATTTTATTTTATTTTTTAAATTGTATTTTACTGGTTTTAATTTATAAAGTATGCGAATGTGAAGAAATTTTATTCTCCGAACGTGCACAACACCCGCGGCAGAGTACAACTTAATGATTTATATATTTATATATATAAATATATAAAAAGAAATGTTAATTACTAATTTAAAATTATGAGAATTTTGAACATTCTATAAACAATACATGACATAATATTACTCAAAATGAGAATAATATAATCGTAAATACGAATAATGAATAAATCTCTATCGTATTTTACTTTTACCGATAAAAAAATAATTCTATTCAATCGAATTAAACCTATAAAAAAAAATCACAAATGGAGGGCTTAACCCCAATTTTTATAAAGTTTTCATCTCTTTTTTGACATTCCATTGATCTACCTATTATTCCCACTTTAATAGCAACAAAAGTATGTAACATGCCACATGCTAATTAGAATAAGCATAAACATTATATTAGCCCACAAAATTAAAAAAAATGTTACTAATAATTTTATTACAATACATTATTAAATAGGAGCATATATTTACCGAAACGGGGATTGGCAAGATTGCGATCTTCGTATTTTTTTTAAAAAATAGATGCTTTCGCAAATCATTTTATGTTGCAAATCATAAGAGTACTTAATTGCAAATACAACACCTGTGTAATTTTTTAATACAATAAAGAAGCACAACTTGTGAGTGAGATGTCCGATTACAAAGGGTTGGTATTTGTAATTAACTCGATATCGCAAACTATTAGGGGTTGGTGACGTGGACCAATATGAATTGTCTCGTCTTAAAATTTATTGATGGCCCATGTAGAAAAAGTTACATGTACACAAAGGTTTAATTGAACATGGTAGGCATGTGAATGTAGACATAAATCATGTGTCATCCATGTGGTTTTAATTTAACCCCTTTTCCATTTTTATTGCATTAGCCCATTAGTTAAGCTATAATTACCAGATTTATTCTTGTAAAAATAAATAAATAAATAAATATATATAAAAGCATGTGCAATAACTTAAATGAAAATTTTAGATGTGAAAACTTAAAAAGTAAATTAAAAACCATCATTATAAACCACATGCACTTAACTGTCTGTTAATTATAAGATTTTTTACAGGGTGTAAGATAATTATTTATGGATCTATTGGGTTATAATAAAAAAGCTGACAACTAAGTGATTACATTATTTTTACAGCAAGGCTACACCTTAGCTTAATTGCCCTGTTAGAGTTTGTTAATTACTTTCTACGCTCTTAATTAATTATTATTTTTTTAGCTTTGCATAAGTATTAAGAATGATAATAATTGTGTCTTAATTTTCAAAAAAAAAAAAAAATATTTAAATGAAAAATAGTAAGTATTATATTAGGGGTTTTTTATATTTTATTTTTTTTATATAAATAAAAATACCTAAATTGGGAAGTATTTTGCTACCAATTACAAGTATTATAACCACTCCTTTGGAATTGTCATTATTCACTAGACAAAGAATATGGGTTGAGGGCCTCACCCATGTGGACTCGAATAATTTACAACACTGCAAGATTAAATTTCTATGCTAAAAAGGTTTTCCCAATCTATTTATAATATAGTAATTTATTCAAAAAAACATTTGCTTTGTTTTTTTAGTTGTATAAATGATTGTTTATACTTAATAAATTAACATGTAATGGTTGATAAATTCTATTTGGGACTAAACTTTAGGACATGTTATAGGTTTTGACATTTGATTGAAAATCTTACAATGCTTGTTTTCTTCCAATTATATAATTATTAGTAAAATACAATAGATAAATCAGAAAGTCAAATCATGAAAGCCACAAAAGTCTTACGTAACAATGCTCTTAATTAACATTTATATAATTACTTTCACATTAATTATTAACCACCAAGAAGATATTCCAATTCCAAGAGAATCTAATTTATATATTTCAAAAATTGATATTTATGAAGTAGTCAAGAATAGGAAAGCTTATCCATTTGTCACTCACATCATGGGATTGTGACATTAGTAACAAAGTTAAATATTGCACCGTAGCAAGCTTTACTTACCTGCTTTAATTTTCCCTTTTTTTTTTCTCAAAAAAATTATGGAGAAGTGGTCACCCCCCACCCCCACCCCCACCCCCACCCCCCTCAGTGGTGGGCTGTCATTTGGTTTGAAGAGTCAGATAAAATTGGGCTTTTAGAGTGGTTTACTTTGTTTCATATGGGCCCCAAAATAGTGACCTATACATAAGCACTTATCATTTTCATGGGCCTCCCCCATTTTACTTTCACAAGAGTTACTGCTTCACTTTTTTCAGATGATGGGGGTGGGGGGTATTTTGGGGTTTTCGTTCTAGTCTGACTGTGTGTGTGTGTGTGTGTGTGTTTGTGTGTCCAGTTTCAGTTGTTCTGCAGCAGTAACAGTTAAAACTATGAACTGCATCTCTTTCAATCCAAAGACATAATCAAGAATCAAGAGACACTGGTTTATTGCACCACAACAAAACTTAGAAAAACTCAACCAACAAACCATCTCAGTTGTTGTCAATAATACCCATCTCCCTTCGTCTCAAATCCAAAGCCATACGCTCGTTCTCGAGTTTCATCCTCTCGATTTCGATCCTCATAATCTCCAATTCCCTATCCTTTTTCTGACAAAACTTCTGCCATTTGAACCTCTCTTTCTCCAGTTCCAACATCTGCTCTTCTATATGCACTCTCTGCTCCTCTATCTGCAGATTCCAGCTATTCGCGGTCACCGTATTCATTTTCGTCGTTCCGCCTTCAAAAGCTACCACTTTATCCGATTTTGAAGAGCCCCGGTGATGAAACTCCTCGTGCCCCCGACACGGCTTCACCTTCTTTGCAGAGTTCCCTTGCACGACGTAAGCCCTATCATCGTGAACAAGTTCGTTATCTTCTTGATCGACCTCTTCATTGTCTTCGTTCGAGTGATGCCTCTTCACTTCAGCTTCATCGTTCCTGAGTGCCAATCTTAAAGAGTGCTGCAAGTCTGGATCGGGCGGCAAATGCAACCGATTCCCGTTGTGGTAGGAGCACATTTCCTCGTAGTGCAAGTGCTTCGAGCTGAGAATCTTTCGCACCTCGTCTTTTGCCTTGGTTGAAATGTGGTCCATAACTTCTAGAAGGGAGGGATTCTCTACAACCTCGCAAGAAGTACCTCTTCCTAGAATCTCGTTCAGCCGCTTGTACCGTTTGTTGAGGTCGTTGAATTTGTCCTCGCATTGCTGCGGCGAAACGAAATGCCCCCTTTCTGCCATGACTTTCGAAACGGACTTCCATTTACCCTTTTTCTGTAAGTTTGCGCATTTTCTCTTCGAGGTGCCACTGTATTCTGCTGCCTCCTCGCTAATGTAGGAAACAGCTGTGATCAAGAGACGCACCATAGCGTCGGTCCATTTCACACGCTGCCACGGTGAAGAGGAAGAGGATTTCTTGCCTTTGGTTGGTTCTTCTGAGAAGCTTGGCTCTTCGTCTTCGCTTGGAGATTTGGGCATATTGGGTTTGTTGTAGTCTAATAAAGAAACGGGTTGATCTTCTTGAATCGTTCCGATTATCGGGAGGGGGAATTTCTCGTGTATCGTGGGGTAAATCATCGATGAAGACGAAGATCCTTGTTTAGGATGAGGGTTGTTGTGTTGTTGTTGTTGTTGTTGATGGTGATGGACTCGCATTGGAACTTGCGAATTGAAACCGATGTAAGAAGTGTTGCTCTGCATCAGATTTCTTGAAGACAGATCTCCTTCCATAATCCGCCAGTATTGTCACACAGGCTTTAGATCAAACACATAGCAGGCATTCATTCACCTTAAAACCTAAAACCACAAAATCAAATCCTGCAAAAATTAAAAAATAAAATCAATTTGCTTCGTCAAGAGATTGTTTGGCAAGATCCTGAAAACCCAGTGGTTCTATTCCAACAGCTATAAATCAATTTCTCCTTTCAATTTTAATTTTTTTCCCCCAGGCCTAAGAAATAAGAAATAACCACTTAAAGTTGCAAGTCATCAATTAAAATCTAACTAGTTTTGCAAAATTACATACAGCAGCTATCCATGATTTTGAAATAGAAAGCAAAAAATCAGCAATTAGCCAGAAAATTCCCCCCAAAAAAATAATCATCTTCTATTTAGCAAATACGCAGAAAAAAGCAAAAAATATGCAGAAAAAAGCGAATACCTTTTAGTCTGTCAAGAACTTCCTTCGAAAGCGATGAATCGCAAATCAAGATTTGAACTTTGGGCTGAAATGAAATGAAAGGAAGATGAAACTAAGTTGTTGTTCGGTGGCAAACGGCAAATCATTAACAGAGAGAATTGATTGAATAAGGGTTGTTGAAGATGCAATGTATGGGAGGATCCATGGGGCCCACACAAACAACAGAAGCACAACTTTTTCATATAAGACACGCTACAAACACACGCACCTCCTCCACACTACAAACAATTTGCTCAAAAGCTTATGTCAACACCAACTCGAGTATTTCTTTTTTGTGAACCTCCACTCTTTAAAATATAATTTCTACTCCCACTACTTTTTTGCAAGTTTTCGGGGATATGATTGGCACCTCATTTATAATATTTATTTATTTTTATTTGGGATTATATCATTAATTTTGTTGGTGGCAATAATTTGTGAAGTTATGTACAATTGATGAATTTTTGAATCTTAATAGTATTATTTGAACATTAATGAAATTTAATCTAGTTTGTTGATTTTTTTTTAAATCATGGATTTTCGGTTAGTAATAAAATGTTGTAAAAATTGATGTTTTAAGATATTAAAAATTGATTGTAATAAAAAGAAATAATATACATTTACGTATATTATATATAGAGGTGGTAAACGAGCTGAGCGGACTCGAAAAAGACTCGAACTCGAGTTTTCCATTAATGCTAACGGAAAATTGACGGAAATGACTAAAAATGTTGAATTTTTGAAATACGAGGGATCATGTATTTTAAGTGAACATGGGGACCAAATGCGACATTAGTGCAAACTTGACTTATATTTCCCTATTATATATCTTATTAGTAAGAGGCGCGTTTCGCTGGTTTTACGTTTTTGCGGTTAAGAGAAGTCGCCAATTTAAGGACTAGGGTTTTAGCGAGACCAACAACTGCAGTGAAATTCAAATCAAAGAGAAGAAAAAATGGGGAGCGAAGAGGAGAGCGCGGTGAAGGAGCCGTTGGATCTCATTCGTCTCAGCCTCGACGAGCGCATCTATGTCAAGCTCCGCCATGACAGAGAGCTTCGCGGCAAACTTCATGTATCTCGATCTCTCTCTTCCTTTGTATTTATTGTAATTATATGTCTGTCTGTCGGTGTTTTTTTTTACTGCGCAACTATGGGTGGAATTGAGATGAAACTATTGAGTTTCTAATTCATAACCGAGCAGTATTCTACAGTCGAGGAACGAAGAGATTAAGCAATATTTGGTGTGCGGTTGACGAATTTTGTCTTGTGAGAGATTAGGGTTTGGGAAAATTTTCAGGATTTTCTCGTTCCTCTTCGCTCCTTTTGTTTTTCTCTGTGTACATGTTGATTAGTTCCCCTTTTCATTTGACCTAGGTTTTGAAATTGTGTTCGCTCAAGCCGATTTATCAGCTTCGAGATTGTTGTGATTGTTGATATATCATTTGAAATAATACCTAACATACACTGGCAAAGTAACTGCTGGTTTTTCTCCGCAGTTTCACTTTCTAAATTTGAAATGGAAGTATTTGTTGAATTTGTTATTGTTATAATTAATAGATTATAAATTGTTCCTAGCACTTTTTGCTGCCTCGTTTTACAAGTTCATGGTTTACTGTTTGTTCTTGAAAATATAGGTACCTGATGTTCTTATCATGTGAATTTGGCAGGCTTATGATCAGCACTTGAATATGATTCTAGGTGATGTGGAAGAGATTGTTACAACCGTGGAGATTGATGACGAAACATATGAGGAAATTGTCAGGGTATGTTATCACTGCATGAAATTCTCCATTGTTACTTCTACATTCTTGTAATATTATCTGCAAGCATGTCAGAAAATTGCCCTTAGATGTTACTGTTTTGTTGTCTCAGATGACTTCAGATTTTAAGCAGTAAACAACATCTCCTACTAGAAGTTTTAGATCTATCCAACTATTGAAATATATGACATCATAACTCTTGATGTACACCAAATCTGCCTTAATCAAAACACCTTATATTTTCCAGAGAAATACTTTGATATTTTGTTGGTCATTTAGGATGTGAACTCTACTGGGCTGTCTGATATTTCAAGAAAAGTCAAAGTTTCATTTTATTGAACAATTCTAAGGTTCTACTGGAACCAACTTGAACTTGGTTTGCTACTAGTTTATGTTTAGGTCGAAAGTTGTTAACCGAAATTTGGTTTTTTCTCTTCTTCATCCGTCATAAGTTTAGAGTTATATATGGCAAGTGCTGGAGTTCTAAGAATACTAGCTGTGGGATAATTTTTCGAAATTGAAAGTAAACGGTCGTAACATGCTTATGTTTGAAATTTATGCTAGTCTCAAGTAGGCAGGCATACCCGTGAAGAGAACACTACCCAAAACATTCTGCTAATATGACTTACTTAATGTTCTGCAGTGACCAAATAAAAAAAATTCTTCAGTTATTGACTTGGAGAAGCTAGTTTATTATGTTATCTGCTATTTTCACAAGTGTCATTATTTAGGTTCTCACTTTTCAATCTTGTTCCAAATTTTTGGGATAATTGTTACCTTTGCAGACTACAAAACGCACAGTTCCGTTTCTATTTGTCAGAGGGGATGGTGTCATATTGGTTTCACCTCCATTGAGAACAGCCTGATGCAGAGCATGAAGTGCAGCTTCTTCAAGACGGTAACAAAAATGATTTCTTGTGAACTTGTGCATTTTCCATATTTTCTTATGATGTACCTTGGACAATGTTGTCGAACTTCTAGATTTTATTCTGTATTTCCTGTTACGAACAGTATCCAGTTAATGTTGGTCGGGATCAAGGTAAAAATACATAAATGTTTTCATGAAAGAGTTGCTACGGACGATGTTAATAATTCAGTGTTATCGTTGTCCCAGGTAATCGGGAGTAATTTTGCTTGAATTTTTCAGAGCTGAATAGGTAATCACATCACACATTAGAACCGGCTACTCCCACATCACACATTAGAACCGGCTACTACAACATCACCCATTTTGTACTATTTTGTTGGCCCCGACGATGTAAGTAATGTAATGTATAACAGGGCAAAACTTTCATTTGTCGTAGACCAAGTCTCAACAACTCTGTTTTGAAAAAAATAGATTTAAAAGAAACGAAAACAAAAATTATTGTACTGCCCCCAAAGGCTCTTTAAAAAGAATTGTACTGGCTAACGGGCCTGTTAAGGTTGGGCCACGGGCGGATGAAACAAGAACAAAAAGGATGCCCCAGTCTGTATTCTAATAGGCCTGTCGCGGGTGGCGCAAAAACCTCTAATGGGCTGCGGGCGAACAGGCCCGTGAGCAAAAACGAAAGCGCGATACGTAGTATAAATGGGCCTAACGGGCAAACAGCCCCATGAACAAAAGTTTAGGAAAAGTGGGCTTAGCGGATGGCCCAACAGCCTATCGTATAAATGGGCCTGACTGGTAAAGAGGCCCATGAACAGTATTGTAGGATAAGTGCAGTGGAATTTATGGGCTTAACGGGTGGCCAACCAGACCGGCCGATGAGCAAAAACTTGGGCCAGTCTGGAATTAAAATACCGGGCTTGGTGGGCCTTAAAAATTTCAGCACCATTTCAAATGGCAAAAACGTAAGACGATCAAGTCATATTTATTAATAGCTGAAACAATGATCATCCATCACTTTTGAAATCATATTTTGGGGTTAAAGTTGTGGATTTAGCTTGTTTGTTCCGGGACCGGGTTGTATTCAATCGAGAAAAGTGAAGAACACTGTCCTGGGTAAAAGTACAAATGAACACTAACAGCTTGATAGCTGCTGACACAATCATAGAGAACTTAAATACAGAACGACACTTGACAAAAATAAACATACCAACAAAATGAACAAAAACACACGCACGCACACGCGCACAAATACACAACACTGGTGGTGAAGTATAACAAAATTTCTCAGGAAAACAAAAAAACATGGGGAGGGGGGCTATGAACACTGACTGGTGGGAACACATTCTATCTCCAGCAAGGAAAAATGAATTAATACAGGAATACAACAATAATAGAGAGCGGTGAAGATATAATACAAGATCATCATCATCTGCGTCTTTGCCTTGAGAAACTTGGTGAGTTAAATGAATTTGTGCCTCTAAAGCTCCGGCTGGGAGAATCCATTGACCCTCTAAAAGAAGCATATGCTGCTTTGGCCGACTCTGGAACAGAGTCTAACGGAAGTGTTTCCACAAAGCATGCTGTATTGATCCTTGTCCTTTCAAGCTCACCTTGAAGTAGTTCCGAGCTGTACTGCTGTGCAAGAGCCTAACCACACACAAAATATGGACGACGTCAAGAAAAAAATGGATTACTGCGAATTTCCATCAAAGGTATATGAAAATAAAACACGTTTCAATAATTTGCATGTAAGATTCTAGTATTACTGGAACTTTGGAAGTTCCTGCAAATATGTGCAAGTGCAACTTTTGTTAATGTGAAATGCCAGTTCTATCCCCAGGTCAATTTTTAGCTGCTTTTTATCCAGGTAGTTTATGAGAGAAATTAGAAACTGCAGTGAAATTAGACGATGAATATCATATAACCCCCCACAAAGTATTACTCTTGACAATTCAATAGTAAAGGCAGTTGATTCTTAAGTTATTTTTATTTATTTGAAGAGTTTCCAGTATGCAGTTCAACTTAGTTACCAAGGTAAAACTGCAGGACTGTGGATAACCTTCCATCAAGGAATGGACAATCAATATTAACTTAGTTCAACTTCAATTTTTTTGCTGATTTATATGTTCAAATTTTCTGATGGTTATTCCTATACAACACAATATAGATTAGTCTCAAATTTCGATAGAGCATTGTACAGGGAAAATGGGTGAGCCAATAGTTTCTCATGCAAGAGAAATACTCGGATTGAAGAAAAATGGACAACTTAAGAAATATGAAACAGAGGTAAACATGAAAAGAGATTTAGAGGAGGAGAGATATTCTTACAATCAGGTCATCTGGTGATGCAGTTGATCCTGCCTGCCTGTCATCTGCAAGGACATCATCACTTCCACGTGTAGGCTTACGCTGATGACTTGGAGTTTCGACAGACTCTGTCACGGTTTCTATTGCCTTTTCTAACAGGACCCCTTGTAAAGACTTAAGAGATTCCCTTGCATCATGTGTGAAGTAAGGATTCAGTATGGTCTCAAAATATTCGAGCTGCAGAACAATGAGAATAATTAGCTGTCAAAAAGTCATCAGGAAAATGAACTAATGAACTACCCTATTTGTTTCTAGCAGGGTACTACACTTGTTTCATAAAGATCCTATAGGGGCAATTCCTTCTTTTGCTCTAACTGTGGACTGGCATCATACTCGTTTACTTCATAATTTCTTTCGGTATGATTTCCCTACAGTCGTTGCGAATTTCTATTTTTAAGTCCACCATTTTTTTTCAGTGCATGAAGTGGACTTCGAAGTTTCAGTATTGTTTGTCATCTCGAGCCATCAATGTTGGAACTCATGAATGGCATCTAAAAAAGTTCTTCGAAATGGATGGTTCTGTAGAAAATTCAGATGGAAAGGTATACTGCAAGTTACCTCAAGCATTAGCTGTGAAAAGCCATTTGGGTCCAATGCCCTGAGATCTTTGGTTCTGTTTTCGTTAAACAGACCAAGGAATATATCAATCAGGCCTTCAACAAGAATACCAAGAATCTTATCCAACAGAGGCTTACAGCCAGCAAAAACCTGCATAAAGACCAATCTTGTTCAAAGACGTAAAACTTGGAACTTTGCTTGTATTTGGAACAAGTCATTACAATGATGCATATGCTTTTGTCAAACTATATGGTTCTGACGAACTCTGACGAACTTCATGAGAAGTCTCTTCTTTGTACCAGAAACTTCAATACCAGAAAATAAAACAAACAAGTTTTCTTCTGTTCAAAATGTACCTCTGCGTGTACAGCTACTAAAGTATGAAGCAAATCAACTGCTGCATCTCTGACCCCCTGCAAGGTTTTTATGTATCACTGAGAACAAATAACACCTGACCTGGACTTGGTGAAATAAAACTATAAAAGGAGAACCAATTCCTTACTTTGACAGCAGGTGCTGCTCCCCATTGAACTCCAGCATCTAACAAGTAATTCACTGAAGCTGATCTGATAAAACTTGTCTGGAAAAATAGTTGCAGAAGAGATAAAGCGAGTTGGGTACAAAATTAGCAGCAGCGGACTTAAAACCCAACCAAAAGCCCAAATATAGAAGTTCACCCCTCTACAAAGATTAGGAGCATAATTCTGATATCCGAAAAGCATTACAACTTTTTCAAGGTAAAATACTTGAAGTAAGGCAATCCTAGACTTCAAATATTTCTAACTAGACATCTACCATCATAAAGGAATTGGATGTTTTTCATACAAACAATAATTTAATCATGCCTTTTCAGTTTCCGTTGCTGTCATCCTTTTACAAATGTCATGACCAAAAATTTTATTCTTGGAGGAGCTTTAACAAAGGGGGAAAAAAAAATTTAAGTTACAGATTATTTCAGAACGTGGAAAGGGAATCAGGTAGGCGACCGTAATGATCTGCTAACTGGAACATCAGCATCTTTTCAAAATCGCTTTAATGTTATAAAATTGAGGAGAAAAAACAAAAAATCAGTTGCGGCTTCAAAAAAGTTTAAAAATCCTTGAAAAAGGTGGCTGAGCAGCTGCAAATGCTTTAGCCATGTACTGATGTGTCCAACACATTAGAAAATTGAGAAAAATGCACCACTTCAAATTTGTTTAATCAAAACAGCCAGATAGCCAGTTGACTTCTGCATTTAAGATTTTGCTAAGATCCTAACAAATAGCTTTTAGCCGAAACTTTAACTACAAAATCACATGGTTGACTGGGAAAACATAACGGAAAAAAGATGCAAGACAAAAAGGCGCTTCAAATAAACAAACAAGACAAACATTAAAGTGCACTATTTAAAATAAAAGGATCTTCTAAGTCAACCAGACACAACCTTTCACATACCTTTGCAAGAGTATATTGTTCAATGACTTTCTCTTCGAGGCTGGAGAAAGACATAATAAGATCGTGCATGTCACTGTCCTCCTCATCTTTCTCCCTAAATTGGCAAATAAAAGACGGCATGTAACATTAACATTCGGATAGAAAAAAAGTAATACTAAAGAAAGACTTATCCCGTAAACGGAATCAATTTAACCACAAGTATTAATAAAGGAGAGAAAACAAAGGTTGTTTCTATGGACTAGTCTTTCCCAGAAGAAAAAAAATGTATGAATTTTTTTAATTGGTAACTCCATGTTTTTGAAGGATAAAATGCATGTTGTATAATTTACAATTCATGATTCATGTCTATTTGACAACCAGAAATGTACTGCAAAATCATAAAAAATAAATTCAACTATTGCTTTATATGTACCTAGACTGCAGCCAAATCTCTTTGTATTTTCCGTACAATTCAAGAGCAAGTTCGTCTTTGCAATATCCAATATTACTCAATACCATTAGCAGCTGTTGGTGTGGATCAACAATACTTCCAGGAAGAGGATCAACTGATTTTTCCAATACTTCGTGAGAATATCCATTTTGGAAGTGTGGACTCCCGATGCTTGACTTATTCTGTGTAAGCTCGGAGCCAATGTGCTCCAAATGACCTGTTTAAATTAACAGCTTTCAGTTATACTTGATGTGGAAAATACTCAAGACAGACAAAAGAACCAAGAGAAAACTTATATTATCCTCCGTACCAGCAAATTCGAGTAAACAGTTCAAAAAGGCAAGTCTAACTGATTCTTGGATTTCTTGAAGCTGGACAAATATATCTTCTGATTTTGCTGATTCAGTTTGCAAGGAAAGAAGCATCCTGGAAAAGGATGAAACTGTTAAAAGATACCGAACAATGTCCACCTTTCTCAAGAAAGTTCACCAGACATATAATTCTATTATTTTCTTGAAAAGGATATCACATAGTTATTATTTTCTTGAAAAGGATATCATTTTCATACCCTTTGGGTAGTAATGTACATGCATATACATCATATTCCAAGACATTTGAGGCAAATGAAGAAACCCGACTCAGATTTGTGCTCGGAAGCAAGGAGTTCAATTTAAAATGTTATCATACAATTTGTGCAAGAGCTCAAAAGGTAAGTTGCATTTAGTATCTGTAACTAGAGCAGTTACCCTTTATTAATCACATAAACACTCATACTCCAGTTTATAATGCTGAGATTGATATTCACCTTACTGCTTAAATCACAGATTGGACTGATGTTTTCCGTTTCCAGCATGTTTCTAAATAGTAAATTATATTCAAATCTTACTACAGTACTAACTCTTCGCTGAAGGTCCTTTAGAAGAGAAAATCCTCCAATAAAATAAAACATATCTATGTCTGGGGACAAACATCAATCTTCAGCCCATACCAAGATTGACAGACAACAAAATAATGGCACAGTAAAGCCACAGCTATCTCAGCCGATTCACAACCAGAAACAACTAAATAAAACGACTTACAATTTTTTTAAAACAACCCGTATTTTGATTAATTAAATCATGACAATCAAACTAATGAAGCAATGGGAGACAAATCAAACTAGACCCAACCGCTCACTTGAACATAGTTACGGCAAGTGGTTATCAATGAAATAAGGTCTTTTAGGTCTTAATCTTATTTATTTTTTTGTCACTCCATAATAGAAGATTTTAGAGGTTACAGATGAGAGTAACTCAAAAGAAATTGGTTCATTCTTCCCCCACCTTGTTTATCTATTTGCGAACTTCTTTGCTATTCACATAGAAATCTGGTACAAAAGGGGGAAAGGGCAGATGGAGAGAGAAGATGGATGAGGAATGTGGACAAGTTGGATAGGGGTACTGAGTTTTGGAGGTGCCGTTATCATGGTCTATGTTTTCATTGCATGAGGATGGGGTGGTGGGTGGGGAGGAATTTTTGCATCAAATAGTCCTTTCTGCATGAGTCAAACCATAAACAGGCAATACAAATCATACTAGTCGTTGTGCAGTGAAAGTGTATATAAGCCCAAACACTGCACTAATTTCTCATCTCTTTAGTTCTTCATCCTGTCACCTACGCCTTATAAGTCCAACCAGAGGAGAAAGAGAAAGGGAAGGAAGGAAAACTACTTTTTAGCAAACATGTTTTTATTACTTAATTCTCTATCATTAATGCTGAAAACATGCGAAATACTTAATTCTTTTTCGTTCTTCATCTACAAAATAGTCTTCATAACTCAGTATTATTATGTGCTGGGGTTGAATAAATTTTGATGCAGAAAATCTGAAATAACAAAGACAAACTAGAACTTAAAAACTCACTCATTGATTTGATCCATTGCTGAGATCATAACTGCACGGAATGCCAGAGGCAATGATGATATAGAATACGTTGACTTGTTTCTTTCTAGAATAGACACTGGGACCCATGACTCGTCTTTTGATATCTCATCTATTGAAGTACGCATCCATGAACAGAGCCTGTGTATGTAGATTTTTGAGATCTCAAATTCAAGTGTTTTCAACACTGAGACTGCAATCACGAAAATGAGAACAATGTTGACGATATTAACCTTGGGAAAAAGAGATTTTAGGAACATAATTTCGTTTTCCTTTTATTCTGCCTTTAAGCTATATCGTACCAGCAATTGGAGGCGCTGATTCTTTTGCTTCAAAAGCTTGGCTTGCTCTAGAAATATCCTTTATGGCATCATTCATATATGGACTGAGGATATTTGATTCTTCAAGATCACGAAATGTGTTGAGTACCTGTACGAGGAATTTATGCATAGCACATGAAAGTAATATCAATCAGGTATTTCATCTAAAGCCAATAGTACTTCTCAAAACAATGGACAAATTCAAGTAAATTCAGATCTCAGACGAGGATTCCTAATAGTAGAGTCATAAAAGATGAGAGCCATCAGAAGAGATCAATAGTGCCAAAGACCTCTATTAGCTAATTTCAGACCTTAGAGTTTTTATCTCCTACTACTGAACAATTTTTGCATCAAACATTTACAAGAAATGACATTTACCTTCGACTCGTATGCTGATAGCGTATTGCGTACCATCCCAGCAACTTCATCAAGAGAATCTCCTATTTTATCCTCAGCTTTAGTTGTGGAACTATTTGTGCTTGGATCGGCAGATACTTGGGAAGACTGAAGAAGAAAAGACGTTGATACACTATAAGACGAAATGAACTAAGACCAATGCTGATTTAATAGGAAACAAGTAAATGCATATCCTAGACCAATAGGATGAAGATAGACAAAAAACAATAAGAAAACAGTTTCTAAGTGAAATAAGAGATATATGATGGATTTCGTTTATGGAATGAGTTGCAGAACAACATGATGAATGGGAGCGACAGCACTTCCTTTATGAATATGGCTCATACCTTGGCAAATTTTCCACTGGACACTGAAAGTGCTACTTTCCAGAAGACTGGTACATGATGGACAAGTACAGCAGTTAACTGGCGAATATATCTACCCCTAAGAGCATCGAGTTCTTCACTAGTCATTTCTGATGGGAATAAATCTCCAAGTGGATGGGAGCTTGCAGCAGAGAGAGAGTAATCCACAGCAGACTGATAATTATACATAAAAAATGAATATCATTCACTAGAAGGCAACGAACTCCAAACAAATTCGGCAAACAAAGGCAACCAACTCCAAATAAATTTGGTAACAATCTAACATTTTGTACTTACAGATTGATTTATATCTTGCTGAATTTGCCTCCACTTCGCATCAGACAGCGCTTTTTCACGAAGCTCATTCTGCAAATTCTCCATTCTTGCTTCATGATCAAAAGTGCATTTCTCAAGCAAACCTCTCATTTTGCGATTCTGCAGCAGATTAAGACCAAAATTCAGCAGAATAATTCTCTGGCCATAATTAAGATACTTCCATTGAAAACTCAAATAATATGGTAGTTAGAAACACAAAAAATGTAAAGATATCAGTTTATATGATGTTCATAGTATGCAGATTGTAGATTTGGGTATATGGAGACAGGAAGATAGGTGCAAGAACTATTTCTGCAAGAACTATCACTTAGAAAAGCTTGGCAGCATTTAGCAAATATGATTTACAGTAAGATATAACATGGTAGATTGTCATAATGAGAACCAGAAATTTCTCACCTGTATATTCAAGTAACGTTTTATCGGATCTGACTCAGGTTCAAGCTCCAGTAAAAGCCGCACAGTATTTTCAAGCTAAATGAAGCATCAAATAAACATTAAGGTATCAGCCAGAAGCACACGTGAAAATAGTAGGTCATGCTTGACCAAAATATTGGGAAATACAAATGGTCATCTCTCTTTTATCAACTTAAATAGATTAAGCTAAAAAGAAACTGCTCATTAATCCAATTTTAGCTTGCTAAAACCACTATAAGCAAATATAATCGTCCTAATACTCTTATCAATGAAAAACTGCATTAAAGCATGTCCCAGCTTTTCTGTTGATTAATTGTGGAAGTGAGTGTCATGTGTATTGAGTGTCATGTGTATCCAAGGGGGAGAGAGGGAGGAGAGATGCATAGTTTCTTGCAAAGTTATATACACCAATTGACAATAATAATAGGCAAAAAATTACAAAAGTTTATAAGACATGACAACATATAATACATCTTCTGTACCAGCAGAATACAATGGTATTATAACAGGTATTTACTTACCGGAAGTATTTCTAGAAATGCAAGTAATATATCTTACATTTGTTAGATCAATATTTGGATCTTCCATGGCCTTGTAAAGCATGCCTTTGAACTCCTGCATTACTTTTTCAACCTCCTCAAGAACACGTTTGAGAATCCCCACCTGAAAATTTCAAAAAACTCCAAACTTCACATATTTATCTTTAGCAAAGATAGTTTCTATTTCTAAGATCCCAACACCAATTTCATAGTCCTGATCCATTTAATAAAGTAAGCAATTTCCCTAGAGAGAGAAGTAACATCAAATTCATAGCATGTCTTGAGATGATAAGAAACTTTTGAGACAATTTAAGCTTTCACCAAATTGTTTAAAACTGTTACCATATAATAAGAAAACAATTGAAACGAGGAAATGAAAAATGATTGATAAAACAATCCTAGAAACAGAATTCTCACTCAGCGTACAGTCATGCACACCTCATGGAAGCTATGGGGATTCCTAGCTTGGATTTAGATACATAGCATTTACACCAAAAAGAAATAACAGTCCATAAGAAAGATTCTTCATAGGTCAGTTTAGTTATTAAAAAGAAAAGCATACAGAAACTAAGGAAGAGCAATCCCCTCATGGATCATTTTTAGTTTAAAAAACATAGAACATCAAGTTAACAGCAGCTGCTTAACTGACAAAGTTCTCTCCGGATTACCAATGACACCATATTTAGCAGCTACTATTGACAGCACTAGTCCTGGATGAGAGGCAGGCATTGAACAAGAGAAAAATGTTTACGAGCAAATGAAGAAGATTAAAAAAACGTGACCACTTAATTATTGAAGTACAAAGAACTTGGATAGGGATTTTTCATGGTTATAATACAGGTATAGGATATCATCCACAGCTAATTCATACATCTTAAGGATGTAAATATACGGGATATAATGATGAATACATAATATGAAACAAGAGAACCATACATGAGAAGGCAGAACAATTGACTTTGCTTTCCGGTACTCCCTGACAGCCAAATCATATTCACCCTTGCTAATATTACCACGAATTGCACTGGGTAAGTTGAATAGTGTCCGGAACCTCTGAAGCATTCCTTGGACAGATCGAATCTTCTCCGCTTGAGCCTATGGAAGTGTCGTCATTTCAGTTAGAATTTTCAAGGATAACCCTAAAATAACTTCATAGTGTGTTAAACCAACTAATCCAGGATTGGGACCCTACCTACCTGTCTCTCAAATAGAGGCCCAAACGCGCGATTAGAAAGTAAACTGACTCCTTGGATACAATCAAAGAGTTGAGAGGTTCCTGCACCTTCAGGGTCTTCCTCAATCCGTTTCAACTTTGATTCAATGTCTGTAATTTACAAAAGCAAATTATAGTTGATATGATTCATAAATGAAGTCTCAAAATTAAGTGCTATTATGCCAACTGACCATCAATAGTGGTTTTGCAAGATACAAAACAATCAAAATTCTCTTTGACCAACTGCTTTTTCTGTTGAGTACGCCCATTGAGATCAGTCTTTAATGAAAGAGCTCCGGACTCCAACTCTGCAGCACTAGTATCGAGGTGCACTCGTGCTAAAAATAGTTTTGCATCAAATTTCTCCGAGTAGTAGTTCATTTTTTCTGCAAAACCATGTACATAAGGTTGACGTTAAAAACAAATGGAAAAATAATTCAACCTCAGTTCTCCTGAACTTATACCTCTGCAAATTAAACCACACAATATTTGTGAGAACTATATAAATTTTGGAAACCTCAATGAAGCATCTTTCACTAAACCTGCTAGCTGTTAAACTTCTCTATCATTATTCAATGAGAAATAAATTATAAGCTTTCTCAGGATTCAACAGATCTTTTTGCATCAGAAGAACGTAACTACCATTTCAGAGGAACCAACTAACAGACCACATGCTCATATACCAAATTCTGAACCATGAGAAATAAATTACTATCGATTCTGAAACTGAATACCAATCCCATCCAGCATAAGGACTTGGTAGAAAATTTTCATTCTACCTCTGGTACAAAACACATGGCAGGCATATACGAATGATCAGTTATCAACTATAAATATTTCTCAAGTTGCTGATGAACCATCAGCCTCACTTCAGATGAGCACCAATGACCCAGAATCCGAATGAGACAGAATATTAATTCTTTAAAATCGTAGAAATCCCACCTCAGTGTGAGGAAAGATTTTCAAAATTTTAGTTCAGTAATGAGAAGAATAGTGTGAAAGAGAACAATAAAATTAAGATTAACTACAGCAAAACAATTTTACCTTAATTTGGATCAGAAGAATAGTGAAAGAGAAGATAAAATGGAGAAGTGAATGCGCTTTCTTACGTGTTATTATGAGTATCAATCATTTCTAGATTGAAGCTATTAACTAAAAAGAAAAAAGAAACAAATCACAAATAAGGATCCTACAAGTAACATTTCCTAAGGAACCCTAGTTGAGAAGATAGAAACAATCTATTGATAAGTAATTTCGCATGTCTTCAAATATGTTGCACCTTACACCACTTACATCTTTCAGACATCTCTGATAAAAGAGTACTATGGAGTAAAGAATACCATTGCCTGTGAATATAAAATGTCAAGGATTTTCATTATCCTATTGAGTAACAAACTAAATACCCGTGCTATTGTGGAACTGTACAGTACACACCCAAAACTATTTAACGAAACATGGCTGCTAATGCATCCATAACATCGTGAAAGTTCAACATTTTATAAATATGGAATTTAAATGTCAGAATTACTGTTATGTTCTTTTTCTTAACTTTTGGGTCCAAGAATCGTCGTGACCAACTTAATAAATGTAAATAATCATGTAAAAAATAAATATCTGGATGCGAGCATTTCTTAAGCTAGGTTGGAAAGATCAGTTACTCAAAGGGAAATAAATATGTAGAAAAGCTCAACAAAACTAAATCAAATACCCCGTGCACTCGGATCAAGAGGTTCCACATCGGTGGAGAAAGAAGCATTTGCTATATTGTCGCTGATCAGCCTAAATGTTTTATGATTAATTAGCCTGTCCATATATAAATTCTGGTTAGCAAGCAATCAGAAAGCAAAACTAAGGGGAAAAACAACCCAAACAGGAAATTTTACCCCAGTCCTAGGGGATCCACCCATTCCATGCCGCGGGGAAGTGACTGCAAACTGCTCAGTCCTTTTGGCTTTCGCTCAAACTTTTGAGGCACGGGAATTACTCGTGTATCTCTCATTGCACGGACCCTCCAGGCCAGCTGCCAAAAAGTTTCCAACCAATAAATTAATTTCGAAGCTTGCAGCACATTAAATATCAAATTAATACGAATCACGACATAATAATTACTCATGAATCCAAGAACCTGAATAGCAAACTCACAACTGATATAAACTTCTTATTTCTGCATCCAATTTTTTTATGCATATGAATGTAAGCAAACTTCAAACATTGGAGTCTAGTATGTGTGTGTGGGGGGGTGGGGAGGATTGTTCCTTGGATATCAAGGTGGGAAGTTAAAGTAATTTCATTCGGACGAGACAAAAAAAGGCACCCCCAGAAGAAATTTAATCTAAGTGTCTCTGATTGTATCAATTAGAAATTATCCAGCGTCACCACAAACTAAAACACATTTACACTTTCGTGACTGAAATTATCTCATGAATTGATCTTGAAGTTTTCTAAGAAAATTTTATGCAGAAAATGCACATTATCCAGCTGTTCATATCAAAATAGTCATTACATTTTCTAATATAAAACTTATTGACAAGATTAGAAGGAGTAATGTTTTTTTCTGGGGGGTGGGGTGTTGTATTCCAAGAAAGTTGCTTCATTACCAAAAAAGAAAAACTCATACAACAAGAGAGTAAAACCAATGTAAGGGAAGGAAAGAATTAGGAGAAAGGATGAATTCATTTCTTTCAAGTAAGTTTAGCCTCTAATGATTTTATCAAAGGCAAAACAGATTATACACGCATCCACATGAAAACAAAGGAACCACCAAACGCCAGACCTAGTTGAAAATTGAAACACTACGAATGAATGAGTTTATGCTTCAAAACTGAACATGCTAGCTAGCATCTGACAGAAAACAACATCAAAAACAACACCGGCAGTTAAACCCAAATACCCGTATCTCCTCTCGAACAAATTACTATACTACAGAACGGCCTACGGCTTAGTCAACATGCTCCATAATTGTTACAGACAGAAGCTCTTATTTTCATACTTGTCATTCGTGTCATGCTAGTTCTCAGTAACTTATAATGTGGCTTGGACTCAAGAATATTGTACATAATGTCCACTGTACAGTAAACTAGACAGTGGAATAAGGCTCTTACTTCAATCACATAGTAGCATCAATCAATCTCTACCAACACAAATATTCTTGGAACTAATACAATCACAAACTTCACGAAGACTTCACTTGAATTAACAACTGAATCAACCAATCCACTTCAATTAACGGTCCAATACGGACGCGGTTGCACACATATATAAGCAGCAATATACGGATATTCCATACCTCGGATTCATCGACACGCTTCCAACAATTCGGCTCCTCCCCATCCCACGCTTTGTCGTCCTCTTTCGCACTGCCGGCGGTCCGATTCCTGGGGGCCACCCCACGATGGTCATCCTCGTCCCCGGAAGAAATGCTCAGCATCTCGACCTCTGAATCGTCGTCCTCATCCAACGACTGCTTTCTCTGATTGACCGCCTTCTTCTTCTGCTGCTGCCCCGCGCTAGGGTTCCTCCCGGAGGCCGCCGGTCCACGGTTCGCCGGAGGCTGGACATAGTTGCGGACAGGCTTCGACCCAGATTGCGAGGGTTTGTGATAATTGAGATCGCGCTGCGATTGCTCTTTCAGCGCCATCTGCAATAGTTCATCCTCGTCCAAATCGTCGCCGTCGCTCGACATTACTTCGTTCGAATTTCGTCAATTGCGTATCTGAATTGACAGTTGTATGAGAGTTGAATGTTTGGGGAAAAGGAAAAGTCTGGAATTGGATCTGAGTGAAGAGATAATTGATCAAGGTTGAAGAATTGTACAGAGGCGTCTGAAGAGGGCAACGGGATAATCTGATGTATTGCGAACTATATTTAGAATGGTGCAACTGCTGACAGCTGGGTGCCACGTAGCGATTTCCAAATAATTTGAAGTTCATAATTTAAAAACAAAACTATAATTACAATTTACAATATATATTAAGTGCTCGGTTACATATATCGAATTACTAAAATAAATTACATGAGATTCGATTAGTTTTCTATTTATAAGGATTTGTAGGTTTAGTTACTTCCTACAAAATTAATCTCAGAGGATAGGATGGGAGTGTTACTATTTAATAAAATTATACTAATTAATTACGGGTTTTAAGTTTTGACGCATGTTTGAAAAAATACGGATCCTGCTAATCGGACGTGTTATCAGCCTGTATTTTCTTCATCGACAAAGTTGTGAGAAAGTTACAAATAAAATAAAGTTGGCTGCAAACCAGTAAAAATCGAATTATAAATAGCATTTACATTTGGGTCAAATTGGATTAAACTAAGTTCTGGGCCTACTTTATTGGGTCATATCTCTCCGATCCAAGGAAAACTGACTGTAGTAACGATATGTTGTCATAAATCTTTGGGTAGATTACGAAAAGCGTCCTAAACTTAGGCTAAATAGCGGAAAACTCTCCCACCTATCCGTAATAATCAAAACCCCCTTATGATTGACCGTCGATCGAGTTTTTTAATGGAAAATGTGGACAATCTATTATAATTTTTGTGAACAAATGATAAATAAATAAATAAAATTGAAATTGTGTAAGTCTATTGCCTGAAATAAAATAAAAAATTCGTTAAAAGTCACACGTTAAGGGGTTGGTGTAAGCCGGAATCAAACCTCAAAGGAATTTTTGGTAATTACGAATAGGTGGAGGTGGTTTTTGTAATTTAATGCAAGTATAGGGGGTCTTCGTAATTTACCCTAGATCTTTATATTTTTATCCTTTTGGTAAGTTGCATCATCACACTTACCAAACCAAAAATTATTTAGTAAATTATAATTGGGAATTATAATAATAATATTCCCATAATAAGCTTTTGGGTGGCCCCCACCCCCGCCAGAAAGGATTCATAATTTCATACTCTCCCCCTTTTTGGGATTTTGCCCTCCAAATATGCCAAGTATCTTCCGGCAAAGCCCGCATTAACTCTCCAGTGTCACATGAATTTCCTCTATTACCCTCGCCGTACCTCTTAGAATTCACTACTCACTCCAAGGACGCAACTGTCATTTACCAGAAATTGCTTCTAAACGACGTCGTGTTAACGCTCCATCGTCCGCCAGGGAAAAATTGCCGTTTTTCATTTTCGATTTCAAGAATCCGGCTACCGTGTGAATTATATCAACGTTGGTGATTATGTGCTGCGGATTTCGTATTTATCCACATGTGTAGAAGAGTGTAAATTAATTTCTACTTCTGGATGAAAACCCTAATTTTTCGAATAAAGCTCAAATCTTGACGTTTTTCCGTCAAATTGAAGCCGTGGTTTTCAGATTTCCGATTGAAACAATTGAATTGATCCATGTCAATGGCGAGTCAAGAAGACCAGGATTTGAAGATGGCCCTGAGAGAGAGCATGCAGCAGCACGAGTCGCCGGAGCCGAAGAGGAGCAAGCCATGGGAGAATTCTGCCACCGGAGTCGAGCCGGAGGAGCCTCTGGAGGTTAGAAATCGGCGCACACAGCGCGAATTAATGGCTGCAGCTGCTGAGAAGCGGATGGCTTCTACCAGAAGCTATGCGCCACCGGCAACAAAGAACGTGGAGATTGGGAAGAACGTGCAAATTGCAGACATGTGTATGGAAGAGGTCAAAAGTCCTGTGGCAACGGCAGTGAAGACTGTGGAGAGCGTTGATATTAGAGGTTTAGAAGGTGATATCAAAGGTAAAGGTGTGAATTTTGAGCAGATTGGGGGCATTAGTGGAAGAATTTCCGACACCTCCTTATCGGTCTTGGAGGCAGATGAACTATTTTTGATGATCTTTGGGAACAGAGTTAGCAAAGATGTACTTGCTCAGTGGAGCAATCAGGGTATCAGGTAAAACTGTTCAAATGCCAACGTCCAACTTCATGTGACTGATGATGAAATGAATACTGATTGCTTATATAGCTGGTTATTATTTATAATTGAAAAACTGTGTTATAAACTTTGGACGAATGTTTTGAGAATTTATCGATATAACTGGATTAGGGAACTTGTTAACTATCTGATACTTGATTTCTATGCTTAATGATCTAAAAAATCCATGTTTCTAAAATGGTCGTGGTTTTCTTGCTGGTATTAGATATGGTTGATTGTGGATCTTTATAAGTGCTATTAATGCAATTACACGTGCATGCGTCTTTCTGTCGTCCTAGTTCTTAATGATCTGTGGAGCCAATTATTCGGTGACTACTTTTTAATGCTTATCGTGTTTGTTCATTGGTATAACAAGCTTGTTTTCTAATGTTATTTAAAGAATGAATACTTGCCATGCAGGTTTAGTGCTGATCCAGAGACATCTATGGGGCTAGTTCAGCACGAGGGTGGGCCTTGTGGTGTGTTAGCAGCTATACAAGTAATGATTTCATTTTTCATTTTACATCCAAGCCAAACTAACCTTGCACACGATAATATTGGATACTAATCATGAGTTTCATTTTCCTGTCTGCTAACATCAATTCAGTTTTACGTTGGTTTTATTTGACAATAAAAGAACCCTGTCGTGTTGAAATTTCAATTTAAAATTTGCAAAGTCATGTGTTTTTTTTTGTACCTCGTCCCTATGAGATACTTAGAATTGGTATCGTTGTCTCTGTATTCATCCAAATATCAATGCTACTCTCTATTGATTCAAGTAGTCGATGTTCTTAAGACCGGGTAATCCTTATGGGGATGGTTGGTTTTGTTTTAGGTCATGAGAAGATGTTTTGATCATTTGGAGGCAAATGTCATTGAAAATGTATACACAATGTTTGGTTTTATTTTCAGAAAATGAAATATCGCGAGTCGTGACTGAAAATGAAAACAGAACAATGGAGAATGTATATTAATGTTTGGTTTTAATTTTCCCTTTTGGTATAAATGACCTTTAAGTTTTTTGTTATGTTGATTGAGCTTCATACTCAGTAATCTTTTCATAATAGCTCCTAGTGGATCTCTCTCTATTATGTTTCAGTCTTAGCGTCACACTAGAATATGTTATCGGTTTGTCAAACATGGCTCCTTTCACGTCAGAGTATGTTAGCATCTTTCCCTCAATAAAGATTTAAAATTATATTTTTTGTTATTTAACTCTGGAAACAATTGTGTATAAAATGAAGTGGAAGAGAATGCATATAGCTAAAACTGAAAAAGCATGGAAAATATTTGTCAAATTAAGGTGCTTATCCCGTAAATAATGTGCTTTGCCTAGTAAAAAAATATCGTGTCGTCACATTGAAAAAACAAATATTGTAACTTGCATTTAATCTGGAGTCACGGTATCAAATCTTTATGTTATGTGATGATGGCCCATGCATGCCGTAAAAGCTGTCTGAAGTTTACTTCCCCTTATGTGGAGTTCTCTTAAAACTCTTTACAGTGGCGAAGATGCACATAAAAGTGATCCGGTGTATATGTTACTAGTAACTAAAGTTTGCAAGTATTTAGGGTTAAGGTACTTAATATTCCTTGCAATAAATTCTTATACGACCAAAACCGAAAATATTATGTAATGGGAAACACTTCCCCTACTAAGCACCTTTGTTCTTAAAGAAGAAAACCTTTTCTCGTAACACTAGTATCGAGCAGGAGTCCGGCTAGATGTGTCAAGAAAATCTCTACGTGATTGTTACTATAAGCTGACATGCAGTTTTATCACTCTGGTTTGACGTATTTGGTGAAATTTAATCAATCTCTTAAGAAAAGAATGTGACAAGTGCTCGACAGTGAAATTTTGTTTCGGTTTCTTCTACTTAATAAGATAATTGGATTTAGCAAGCGTCAGATGTTATCATCTGATCGACGCATGATTAGGGTTAACTATCTGAGTATTATCTTACAATATGCTGAAATCTCGGGGTTAGGGGATGGGGAGCTCGCTTTTTAGTTAACTTGTTTTTTTATTGCTAACTTTCCATATATGCTTACGTTTGCATGCGAGTATAGAAAACTCTCATTTTATCCTCATAAGTAGTGCATACACGATTCTTGCTGCTATTTATCCCTTAACATTATATATCTTGGCTGTGCAGGCTTTTGTACTCAAGTATCTTCTATTTTTCCCAGAAGAATCTGATAATGTTGCAGCAAACATGCCCATTAATTTGTCTATGAGAAGAGCTCCCAATAATGTATCTGCTGCCTCAGATAATTTATCTTCTCTTTCAGAAGGAAAAAAATCGAGGTTACGAATCTTTCTATACCGCTTCTTAGCTGTTGTACTTGGTCTAGTATATTAATTGCATGCATGCCCTTGTATCAAGGTTATCACGTTTGACAATGTCATTAATACGTAGAGCCATTACACGTGTCAGATTAATATAGATTGGATTAACACCAATTCATTGCTAACTAATTTATTATTTAGTTAATAAGGTATTAAGTTCCGTATATGAAAATCTACTATTATATTTGTTAAAATCTGGGATGTGGTTCTCCAACAGGTCCCTTATGTAACAATAATCCAATCTATGTTTATTTCAGGGATAAGATTGTCTTTTTCGTTTGTACTTTGTAGTAGCGACTTTTTACATTAATAACTAGTGGATACAAACGATAAAGACAATCTTATCCCTGGAATAACATAGATTGGAAAGTTACCAATCAAAAAAGCATATAACTCGTTTTTCAGTTAACTTTCGTAAGTGGTTAGTAGTTCTTATTGTTATTACTCAAATTAAATTTTGCTGCTTTTGAACAGAGCCCTTGTGAGGAGTATGAATGAGATACTCTTTCTATGCGGACGTAATGAAAGAGCACTAATAGCATCTCTGAATATTCTCGAGGGCGATTTTGTGGGGTCCATGAATGGCTCGGAGGACGAGGTGAGCTTTAGAATTTTGCCTTATTTGTCACATTCTTAGCTTTACAGTTATGTTTGGAACATGCAAAATACTTTTTGATAGTGTGAAATACGACAAAAGGCATTTAATTTCAGTTATTATCTTACCCTTTTCACTTACTGAAGTTCTTGCAATTAATTTTATCGCTTTTTTTTTAAATGCAGATTATTGCTAAAGTACTTGGAGGTCTTTCTGTTGAATCTGGGTCTGACTTACAGAAGGTTCTGAGAGTTGATACCTTCACATCACAGTCGAGCGCACTTCAGAAGCTAGAAGCTATGCTTCCTATTTTCCGTAGTCGTATGGGAGCTTTGCTTTTCTTGATCTCTGCCTTGTTATCTCGAGGACTGGTATATTATCCTATCCTTTTAACCTAAAAAACAAGGAATTGTGCCTTAATTGATCTTTTTGATTCGTCATATAATCTTACTTGCCGTTTTTTATTTGTCATATGATCCCTGATTTACTGTCAGAACAATGTTCAAGAAGACAGGGACGATCCAAGTCAACCATTGGTCACCGCTCCATTTGGACATGCATCACAGGTATTTAACATTGTTTATGATTAATAGTTATCGGATAATGGTGTTTACTTATTTATTAACTCGAGTTTAACTCCAAATAGGAAATTGTAAACCTACTACTCTCTGGGAGTGCTGTTGCAAACGTGTTTGACGGGAAGATGGATTTGGGAGGGGGCATGTTCGTAAAAGGCATCTCGACAACTGTGGAAGTTGGATTCCTCACTCTTTTAGAGTCACTCAACTTTTGTAAAGTGGGCCAGTATCTGAAATGTCCCAGGTGGCCAATTTGGGTCGTTGGAAGTGAATCTCATTACACAGTTTTATTCGCACTCGACACCAAAGTGCAAGAAGAGAATGAACTGGAAAATCGAGAATCGCAAATCCGAAGAGCGTTCGATGGTCAAGATCAAAGTGGAGGAGGTGGATTCATCAGCGTTGACGGCTTTCATCAAGTGGTTAGGGAAGCCAATATTAACCTTCCAACCGAAAAAATCGAGCATCTTTGCAGTACGGGTTTTATAGTGTGGAGTGAATTTTGGCAGGCTCTTTTGGATTTGGACAAAAATTTGGGGGGAGTTAAGGATTCGACTGGATTGATGGGTAAGAAGGTCTTTGATCTTTACCATTTCAACGGTATTGCAAAATCGGTTGTCAATTTCAGCTATTTGTACGGAAGCGAAAGTCCGGTACAGAAACCTAGAATAACGAAGTTGAGGGTTTCGGTTCCTCCGAGGTGGACCCCAGAGGAATTCATGGCGGATGTACCGGTGACATCTGGCGCGGGTGGTAATGAATTTGGTGGCGAGGTATCTAAGCCTCCGCCACGTCAGCATGCACCGTTGGTTGATTGCATTAGAACGCGTTGGCCTCGTTCTGTTTGCAATTGGGAAGGGGATGCTCCTAGTATCGTCTAAGTATATTTATTTATTTATATTGGAGCTTCTTTTTTTTTCATGAGTGGGAAAAAAAGGGAATGGTTGCAGTTGTGACCATTCATGTGAGATGCAAACTACATATTTTTTTACAAAAACATCTCAACTGTGATGTAGCATTAGGGTTTTAATTTTATTTGAAGTTTGTGCAATACTCGGGGAGGGGAAAACGAAGGATTTTCGTTGGATTTTATTATTTTAAATTTAAAGAACTACAGCAGAGGCTACTGATTATGAAGTTGTATGAAGAACTGGGAGGGCATTTTATAGGCCAGATATTCATTGTTGTAAGCTAGATGTATTTTCCCTGTCAAATGTTGTTGTTTATTAAACCAAGTTGTTACTGTGACATTTTTCTTGCTGTCAAATTTTGTTTTTCCCTGTCAAATGTTGTTGTTGATTTGTGGGCAAATGTATTCCCCTTCTGTACTTGTTAGAATTCTGTTATACTTTGATAAGGGAAATCAGTTCTTTAATCAAGATGGTCTGTTACTTTAACAGTAGCGTTTAACGAGACATCGAGAACACGTTACTTAGACAATAACGATTTGTATTTCGTATCAATATATTTGGCCAAAAAAGCTGAAAAACGCTCGATGGCCCGTTTGCCACGAGTTGAAAAAGAAATGCCAAACATCTTCACTCTTGTAGACAAAGTATTAGGAAAGCAACACCCACAAAATCCATTCACAATCCAACTTAAATAATTTATAGTGTCAGAGCAAAATAAAAGGCCAAAGCCCAGTGCCAGCCAAATATTACAGCCCTGAGGTAAATTCATTTCTAACTTCTACCCGGAAAGTACATAAACCACAAAAAAAACAAATCTTACCATCAATTACAAATACAAAAACACCTTACAAAATCACTTCATGATTATACTCAAAACCGCAAGCCAACACCCACACTCCATTCAAACTGCAAGAAATCGAAGATAACAAGATAACTTTTGACCCTGGAAATTTAAGAGAAAATAAACTGAGCATTAGTCCCTCGAGCACATATATTACTATAGACTTACATATAGAAATAACATACCATCATTTAAAAGTTGGAAAAAAAGAATGTAACAAACATATGAGCGGTAAAAGGTGACTGAAAAATTCGCAGTCGTATAACCACGTGACTCACCATCTTAGAAACACTTCCTGTGAACAATTGCAGGGCCAGATTCATCGTACTCTCCCTTTGAGATCCACATCTGCGCATCGAACAAAACAAATTATATTGCTATTGCCAATATTACAACAATCACAAAATCACGTTTATAACACAAGCAAAACTGGCTGATTGGAGGAAAGTGACCAAAGACATACCTGCTGGAAAGTACTGAGGGATGCAAGAATTGACCCTCCGATCCAAACACTGTACTTTCTCTCAGGTGGTGCAACAACCTTAATCTTCATGCTGCTCGGAGCAAGAGCAGTTATTTCCTTGCTCATACGATCAGCAATACCAGGGAACATAGTGGACCCACCACTGAGCACAACGTTGCCATAAAGATCCTTTCTTATATCCACGTCACATTTCATGATCGAGCTGTAAGTCGTTTCGTGAATTCCTGCAGCTTCCATCCCAACCAGCGACGGCTGGAACAAGACTTCCGGACAACGGAACCTCTCAGCACCGATGGTTATAACTTGTCCATCTGGCAGCTCGTAACTCTTTTCAATCGAAGAACTGCTCTTTGCAGTCTCTGTTTCCTGATCGAAATCCAGTGCCACATAAGCAAGCTTCTCTTTCACATCACGCACAATTTCCCGTTCCGCACTTGTGGTGAACATGTAACCTCTCTCAGTCAGAATCTTCATGAGATAGTCAGTCAAATCACGACCAGCAAGATCCAAACGCAAGATAGCATGTGGAAGTGAAAATCCCTCATAAATAGGAACTGTGTGACTCACACCATCACCCGAATCGAGCACTATACCTGTTTATGACGCAAAAAAAAACATAATTTAATAATTGGATATCTTCACCAAACTTTAAAAATTACTATACTATATACATACCGGTTGTACGCCCACTAGCTATACAGAGAAAGGACAGCCTGGATAGCAACATACATAGCTGGCACGTTGAAGGTCTCGAACATGATTTGAGTCATTTTCTCTCTGTTTGCTTTAGGGTTGTAGAGGTGCCTCGGTGAGATAGAACAGGGTGCTCTTCTAGGAGCAACACGGAGCTCGTTGTAAAAAGTGTGATGCCAAATCTTTTCCACGTCATCCCAATTGCTCACTATACCGTGCTCGATTGGGTACTTCAATGTGAGAATACCCCTTTTGGATTGAGCTTCATCACCTACATAAGCATCCTTTTGCCCCATTCCAACCATAACACCTGTATGCCTAGGGCGGCCTATTATGCTAGGGAAAACTGCCCTTGGGGCATCATCACCCGCAAAACCAGCCTACAGGACACAAAATACACACTGAGCAATATTCGAACGGCATCACAAATAGCACACTCCCACATGAGGGAAATGATTTAAGAGACGGGATGAATAGTCAAAGCTCACCTTGACCATTCCGGTACCATTGTCAACAACAAGGGGTTGAATATCCTCTCCATCAGCCATTTCGTGTTATGATCTACATAACCAAGAGCAATAATCGATCTGGTTAGGCTAAAAGGAGTAATGAGAAACAGGCAACATAAAACACATAAAATTAAAACAGGCATAATTAGGGAATAAGAAAATCATGAAAACGAAGATTCGCAATAAAGTCGCCCTTCACCAAATGTACCCATGAATAATGAATTACATGTAACATTACATTCACAACAAGATATAATAGAACACAACTAGCATAGCACAAGGACGCCTGCGCCACTGATCGAAATATCATCAACACAAATATTTCGTATTAGTAATAAAAAGTCAACTAATTGTTTGTCAACTAATTTTTTTGATACAAGTTCATATCCAAAAAAACCTTAAAAAGCATGGGTCAACATACATAATCTGCCGAAAGAACAAATCCAGCATCAATATAAAATACTTTATTGCATGATATACCTATGCCCATACAGATCGGAGAGTTTTGACCCCATAAAAAAAAATCATCTTTAAAAAATTGAATGACAAGCTAGAACTCAAATCATTTGAAGATTCACGCCACTAAATTTACAGAATGAACACCAACTAATTCATAATCATTACCTAATAATAATAATAATAATAATAATAATAATACAGCATGCTATTCAGATAATCATAAATCACAGAATTAAAAATCCAGATCCACAAATCAAAACCAAGGATTGCTGAAGTAGAAACAATAACTTGAAGTAAATTAGATTTAGATAGCGCAATCACCTTTGATCGAATCGAAATATAGGATTCTGACTTGCTGTGCAGAGAGAGAATGTCAAAAGTGATACAGAAGCTGTGAATTTCTGGGTGAGAGAGAGAGAGAGAGGAGAGAGGAGTGAGAGAGAGAGAGTCCTATATACGCTGCTTGAAACGCGTTTAATTGAAGGAAAATGAAATGAAATGGCGTTGACATGAAATGCAAATGGAAATTCAAATTTATTAGCTGAACAAGTAATCAGCATTTAGTAACCAGTAATTAGTAATTACCACTAATCCCATTATTAAGTGAAACAGCTATAGTAGGGAAATGTCTATTCTCATTCATTTTCAAAAAAAAAATTTATGAAACAATAATATTTCATTAATTTTATCTTATATATATATTTTTTCCATATTATTTATGAGTATTATAAAATTAATACTATTTGAAAATTAATAAAATATCATTTAAAGATAAACAACATTTTTTTTATCTTAATATAGTTAAATATTATTTTTTTGTCTGACGCTAAAGTAATTTCTAATATTCATAAAATAAAGTTGGAAGAAAATTGATTCTTGTAAAATAACTTTAAAAATAACAATGGTGTCATGCATTTTTGTCGGGTAACAGTAAATGAAAAAGTTATATTAGCAAAAATTTATAAATTTTAAAAGTAAATTTATGAGCTCCATAATTCAAAAAATTAAATTTTGAAATAAGATCTAACAGTTTACCGACAATTTTATTTTCCATGTTGCCGAGCACATGAGATTTCCAAATTTTCGGTTGGAATATGTATGGGAATAAATTTGAAGAACTATGATTATAAAGTTACATGATGAACCAATAATTAACTATATTTCTATTAGGGGAAAATATAATCAAATAATAATAATAATTTTATTTGGAAAATAATATAAACTTAAAATAACTATATTTGATGAAGTCAGTCATAAATATTTAATTACAATATCATAATATATAAGCACGATTTGTAAATTACGACATATTTTTGTTTTGAATAAGTAAATGACGACATTTTCTAATGCAAAAAATATCGTTTATAAGGGGCTTAATTCTATTTTGCACCCTTGGAAATTGGAATGTAGCATTTTGGCACTTTGCACCCTTAAAAATTTTAATAACACGTTGTACCCACAAAACACAATAAATCATTCACAATGCACCCCGAATTTAAAACTTAATGTGGATAATTTCATTGTTATTGGTTTTTGTATTTCCAGAGTGCAAAATAATAAAGTAAATTATTATTTACTTCTACCTCCAACATAATTTCGAGCGTACGAAAAAATAAAAATTACAACGAATTACTTAAAAAACAATATTTTCTTACTTAAAGAATTTTTTTATCTCACTAAATTATACGATTGAAAAATCTTTTATTGTAATTAGTAAAAATATTTAGTCAAAATCTTTGGAAGAAAATATAATGTTCAAATAACTTGAAAACAAAATGGTTGATGGATATTTTTATTTTATACTCTTAAGTGATTTTTGTTGATATTTTGATGAAATGTATTTTTCATTTTTGCACTTTGTACTTTCGGAAAGATTGACGAATGTAAAAAGAGTTGATTAAACATTTGACATCCTAAAAAATACCATTAAAAATATTAAATTACCTTCATTGGCTTTAGAAATTCATATGGCGTGGATTAAGTATGATTTATTGTGTTTCGAGGGTACAAAGTGTAAAATGGAATTAAACTCTTATAAAGTAATACTAGAGTTAATTAATTTTAGACCCCCTTCGAGATATTGCTATACAAAATGCCCCCTCTACTTCTCATAATTATCTCTATCTCCCTTCTGAGTTCACATGTTTACTTTGTTACCCCCTTCTTTTAGGACTTCGGACGAAATTTGATAATACAACAAAAACATATCATGAATTTCCAATTTTACCCACGCTCTCAAATATTTACTTTTTTTTTTTAGGGTCAATTTGTTAATTTATCCTCTGTTTTTAGTTGTTTAATTTTTTATTTTTACAAGAATTTTATTGAAGATATGTTTCTTATAATATTTCTCTTTGGGTTTTGCAACAAAACAAGGGGGTAGGGAACATTGTGTAATTACACAATCCTAGAGGGGTCTTTCCGTAATTAACCCATAATAATATATTACGTGGATATGCATGATACTACTAGTTGATCCAAATATCAACTTATTACATACAAAATGAGAAAATTATAAAACATTATATTAAAAATAAAATATAAAAAATCTAAAGGCCCCTGGATCCAATTAACTTTGTCAAACCAAAAGTTATAGCCATCGCAAACCACCCGCCAAGCAAAACCCTAGCCGAAGACTTCACCACCGGCGCCCTACCTAACGCCGCCCCCAACCACCCAAAAACCATCAGCGCCACCGTCACCGCCGCCACCACCACCCCAACCCTCACCCTATACTCCCTAATAAACGACGCAGCTAGCATCGGGACCATCGCGCCAGCTGTAAACGCAAGCGCCGACGCTGCAGCCGCCTGAACCGGGTTAGGCAAACCCTCCTCATTTTCACAACCGCCGTCGTCGACGCCGCCGCCGACGACGGCGGCAGCCTTTTGCTTCTCTCTCTTCATCTGGGACACTTCGATGTCGAGCTGTGAGTAAACGGAGACAAACTCTCCGATGGCCATTGAACAAGCTCCGGCAACCAGTCCGGCGAAACCCGTCAGAATCATGGCCTTGATGTCTTGTTTCACAGCTCCGACGCCCATCATCAGAGACGCCGTCGAGACTAGGCCGTCGTTGGCTCCAAGAACGGCGGCGCGCAGCCACTGGGATCTTTTCGAGTAGTCGAATTCTTGGTTTTCTTCCAACTGCCGACCGGTTTCGACGGCGAGAGGAAATCTGGCGGCGGCGTTTGTTTGGTTAGAGGAAGTCATGGGAATATATATAATTATATATAGGGGCCCCTTATATATATATGTATATGAGAATTAATAATGTTATTACAAAATCGGATTAGGGCAAATGAGTTTAGTTTGAGTGTGGTGAGCACACGCCTTCAGATGCTCGATATTTATAGAAGGAGAAAGAATATCCGATTCTGCACTCTGCAATATTTCAAAAGTTTTATTATTATTAATAAAATAATAATATGTATTTAATCAAGAATGAAGGAGCAGACCTAATTTGTGGCACTTCATCACTACTAGTTGGGCAACAATAAATAATAATAATTGAAAATAATGGATTGCTGAAGAGGAAACCACTGATAAAGATTTAAAAGAAAAAAATAAAAAAAGGATAAAGTTAAAAAAATATTAAGTAAGTTACGACCACTCCTGAGGTAAGATCAAATTACAAAAAAAATCCCTCATGTTTGGATAATTATAATCATCTCCTCAACTACGAATCTTTTTACACGTTCATCTTACGGTCTCAAATTTAACAGATTTTTCTATGCTTTGTGAAATGTTCTCTGATTTGTACTCGTTTTGTGTAAACATGCAATTTTCGATATATCACAATCTTATATTTACAAGTGAAGAGACGCATCTTACGATGATCATATTTGTTTCAAAATTTGGAGCTCGAATGGGGTAAAACGAGTCGAGTACAAACTGGAGAATATTCCACATAACCTAGAAGATTTCACTAAATTTGACACCACGGGGGTGTACATGTAAAAAGATTCATAGTCGATGGGTAATTGTAATTACCCATACATGAGGGATTTTTTTGTAATTTAACATTATCTCAGGAGTTACCCGTAATTTACCCAAAATTATTACAATTTTATATATAAATGGGAAGGAGTGTGGATTCCACACGAAAGCCACCAACATTGGATTTAACACTCCATTGTTAAACATCATTTGGACCAGGTGATTAGTATTAGGTTGTGTTGTACTAATTAATTTGATATAAAATCATGTATTATTACACATCATATAATATTATTTAATCTGAAATGTTAATATAATATGATATTTAATATGTTTATTAAGGAATTGAACTGGGCTTTTGGACATAGGCCCATAGGAATTTGGTTATGTCTAACTAAGTAAACAGCTGGCTTCTGCTGATATTTAAGCATAATATTTCAAAAATAACAAAAAACAGAAATAATATTTTGTAAATAGATTAAAAAACACATTGTTTTCCCAAATCAATAATTAATTTCGGAAACAAATAATTAATTTATTTTATTTCTTCTCACCACACAAATTCAGTTCACAACTTAAAAAAAAAAAAAAAAAAAACAATACCAAATTAATTAGAAAGAAACATACATATAATTCAGGCAAATACATTAGTGGAACACTTCCTGTGAACAATTTCATAACCAGATTCCTCATACTCTCCCTTTGTGATCCACATCTGCACATTGAAAAATTAAAATAAATAAATAAATAAATAATAATAATAATAAAAAAAAAATTGGAATATTCATACTAGTACTAACAACCATAAAATTGCACAAACCTTTTGGAAAATATCAATTGATGCAAGAACTGAGCCACCAATCCAAACAGTGTACTTCCTCTCAGGTGGTGCAACGACCTCAATCGTCGTTCCTCCCGGGGCAAGGCCCGTAATTTCCTTTCTCAAACGATCTTCAAAACCGCTAAACATAGTGGACCCACCACTCAGCACAATGGTTCCGTAAAGATCCTTCCGTTTATCCACATCGCATTTCATAATCGATTCATAAACCGCCTCGTGAATTCCGGAAGCTTCCACTCCGATCAACGAAGGCTTAAACAGAACTTCCGCACAACGGAACCTCTCGGAGCCTACCGTAATTACTTGTCCGTCAGGCAACTCATAACTCTTGTCCACGGAAGATGGAATATTATTTGCAGTCTCCGATTCTTCCTCGAAATCCAACGCCACGTAAGCAATTTTCTCCTTTATGTCATGCACAATTTCGCGATGCACATTTGTGGTGAACACGTAACCTCTCTCATCAGCCAAAAACTTTACGAGATAATTAGTGATATCACGACCAGCGAAATCCAACGGCACTATAGCTTCCGTAAGCGTCTGGCCCTCGTAAACCGGAACAACATTGGTCACTCCATCACCGGAATCGAGCACTATACCTATATATATTCACGAGTGTATTTAAATAATTCATTATTATAACATGATATATTTTACATTGAGGCTATATACACGCACGCGCGCGCGCGTACGTACCGGTTGTCCAACCAGTAGCAATGAGTGAAAGGAAGGCTTGAATAGCGACGTACATGGCGGGCACGTTGAATGTCTCGAACATGATTTCGGTCATTTTCTCTCTGTTTGCTTTGAAGTTGAGCGGAATTTCGGTGAGCAAAACAGAGTGTTCTTCGGGGGCGACACGGAGCTCGTTGTAAAATACGTGATGCCAAATCTTTTCCATGTCATCCCAATTATTTACGACACCGCGTTCAATTGGATGTGTCAGTGTAAGAACATCCATTTCATACATAGCATCATCTCCGACGTAAACATCCTTTAGCCCCGTCACAATTGGATGACGTGGACGTCCGATTGTGGTAGGGAAAGCTGTCTTCGGTGCATCATCTCCAGCAAAGCCAACCTGTATACAGGGCACAAAATATATATATACACACCGAGCGAATATTCGATGATTTTTTTTTTAGAAAAACAGAAAAACGTACGGTCGATAATATATGCACGTTGCGAAATATTCGATGAATATTTAGGAAGCACGATAAAAATTACCTTCATCATGCGAGTGCCATTATCAATAATAAGGGGTGATTGATTAATATCATGTTCTCCATCAGCCATCTTCTTGTATTATTTATGATCTATAAAAATAAAATATCATAATTAGGAAATAAACTTTATTTGCTTAGAAATAATAAGTTGAAGTAATTAAAGTTTTTGGATTAGATAATAAAGTCACCTTTAATTTGATTGGAGGCTTGGAGCCAATTATCCGATCCTGTAATTAGCAGCAGATAATGTCAAAAGTTGTACAAAAGAATGATGAATATGAGAGAGAGAGAGAGAGAGAGAGATAGAGTCCTATATATATATATATATATATATATATATATATATATATATATATATATATATATATATATATATCTGCTGCTGCAAAACATGTTTAAGGAAACTATAATGTATAATGAAATAACGTTGACATGAAAATGCAAATGAAAAGATGCATTTATGACGTGACGAGCAATTATCATTTAACCGTTGACTGTAAATTAAAGAAAATGTCAACTAAGAAAATGTCAAGTAGCTAGCATTATTGTTGTAAATTAAAGAAATGTATGTAGAATATGAACAGTTCACTTTGAACCAGCAATAATAATATTCAATAACATATAATATTAGTAATTTGTTAAAGAATCAATAGAGTTATCAAGTAGTGTATTCAAACTTTAAACCACCATTTACATACTACAAAATAGAAAATTTTTAATTCCAAAAGAGTAATCAAGGAAGGTTTCTATTTTGATAATTAAACTCTTGGGATATAAATATACTTGCTGGAAATTGAGTTATAAAAAATGTAACCACCTAAACATCTAATTACATGTTGACATGTGGCAATTACAACTAAAATCATCCATAAACTTCCAATTGATAATTAATTTGACAACCATGGTGGGAGTAAATGAATTTTAAAAATATTAAAATATTATCTCAAATATCAAATGAATATTTGATAACTTAAATTTGATGTCTTACATTGGAGTTGCTCTTATTATTATAACGTTTAACTATCCGCATGAAATATCAACAAACTTTGATAATCATTAAATAGCCCCTAAACTTGCCAATTGTATCATAGTTAAGTGGATGGTTAATTATAATTACCCAAACATGAGGAGTTTTGTCATAATTTGACCTTAATTCGGGGGTATACGTAATTTATCCTAGGTAATTTATTTTACATACATTTTGATACAATTCCCTGTTTACAGTTTACACATTAAAGAAAAAAACATGCGCATTTTTGCTAAGGTTATTACATTACAAGTCCATTATTTAAGAGGTGTGGTACTTAGGAACTTATAACTTATAAGTTATAACTTCCAATTCCAGTTCACACCTCTTTTATTTATTCCCACACAAATTCAACTCACAAGTCACAATCAACAACTGAATAAATCTCAAATTACAAATTATTTACTCCTAATTAAGAAACATATTCAGGCAAACTCATTAGTGGAACACTTCCTATGTACAATTTCATGACCAAATTCCTCATACTCTGCGTTTGTTATCAACATCTGCACATATTAAATATTGCCAATTATTTATATTACAACCACTACAACAAAACAACACAAGTAAATTAAAAAAGAAAAAAAATAAGCGAAAAATTGCACGCACCTGTTGAAAAATATCGAGTGATGCAAGAATTGATCCACCAATCCAAACACTAGAGGTCCTCTCAGGCGGAGCGACAACCTTAATCCTCGTTCCGCTCGGAGCAAGACCGGTTATTTCCTTGCTCAAACGATCCGCAAAACCAGGTAACAAAGTGGACCCACCACTTAGCACAATGTTTCCATATAACTCCTTGCGTATATCCACATCGCATTCCGCAATCGAGTTATAAATCATCTCGTGGATTCCGGAAGCTTCCGTTCCGACCAACCAAGGCTGGAACAAAACTTCCCCACAACAGAACCTCTCGGAACCCACCGTGATCACGTGTCCATCAGGCAACTCGTAACTCTTCTCCAGTGCGGAAGATGGACTATTTTTTTTATTATTAATATTATTATCTGCAGCCTTCAATTCTTCGTCGAAATCCAATGCCACGTAAGCAAGTTTCTCCTTTACGCCACGCACAATTTCCCGTTGTTTGAACACGTAGCCTCTCTCATCACCCAAAATCTTCCTTAGATAATCAGTGATATCATGACCGGCCAAATTCAAAGGCGAAATAGCCTTTGTGATCGTCTGTCCCTCGTAAACAGGAACAACGTTGGTCAAACCGTCACCAGAATCGAGCACTATACCTGTACTCATTCAAGATTAAGATTAACGAATATATTTACATAAAATCATTTCGAGCTTCTGATAGTTATACATATACACACACACATATATATATATATACCGGTTGTTCGACCACTAGCATAGAGTGAAAGGACAGCCTGGATAGCAACATACATAGCTGGCACATTGAAGGTCTCGAACATGATTTCGGTCATTTTCTCTCTCTTCGACATACGGTTGAAAGGTATTTCTGTGAGAAGAACAGGGTGCTCTTCGGGATCGACACAAAGCTCGTTGTAAAACGCGTGATGCCAAATTTTCTCCATGTCATCCCAATTATTTACGACACCGCGTCCGATTGGATATTTCAGTGTAAGAATTTCCCTTTTCATTAGAGCTTCATCTCCGACATAAAAATCTTTTTGCCCCCCGGTCACAATTGGATGATCAGGATGCCCGATTATGCTCCGGAAAATTGACCTTGGGTCATCTTCACCTGCGAAACCAGCCTATATATACGACACATTACACTGAGCGATATTCGATGATTCTTTTTTTTAACAAAAAACAGCCGATGATTTAAATAGCAATATATCATGAGTAGATTTATTATAAATACAGTATTTAACGTTGTTCTAAAAAATCAAAGGTCGTCTCACCTTGATCATGTGAGAGCCATTATCAATAACAAGGGGTTGAATATCCTCATCTCCATTAGCCGCCATCTCGTATTAATTATGATCTAAAACAGTTTGATTTCACTATTAATTACGGGATCCTGTAATTAGCAGATATAAATTATAATTGTTAGATGGGGAGTGAGGGAAATTGGAATCGTCCTATATCAAAACACGTTTTAAGGCAAACACGAAATGCAAATTAAAAGTCGCATTAATTAATTTATGACGTGATCACGAGCAATTGTCAACCTTCTTACTGAAACAACTATACACTAAAAAAATGTCAACTAGCATTATTGTACTATGTGTAAAGAAATGTCAAATGTGTAGAATATTATATGGAAACTTCACTTTTAAAGGGACTTGTTTTTTACGGTTTAAAAATTGCTATTTACAGTTTATAACAAAAAAATACTTTATCTCTCTAAAATCTCAAAAATTTTCAAAAAAAATTCAAAAACCGCCCAAACACGTAAAAGCCCAACTTGGGCGCCCACTCATGCAGTGCACGCCCAAGTTGGGCGTGCAAGCTGCATTTGGGCGCCCGAGTTGGGCGTCCAGTGCAATTTTTTTTTTATTGAACGCCCTACAAATTGATTTGTAGGGCTTTTTAACATGAAATTGGTTCCGTAATTGACCTACTCAATGCATATTTTACACATAAAAGAGTCAAAATTACCTCAAAAAATCGAAGCCCAACCCTTTCTTCAAGTTTGATTTCGAATTTTTGAATTTTTTTTTGCTATTTGCAGTTTGGGAGGTTTTTGGAATTTTTGGGAAGTTTTGGGGTTTTAGAGAAATAAAATGTTTTTTGTTATATACCGTAAATAACAATTTTCAAATCGTAAAAAACATTTCATCTTTTAAACCAGCAACTATAATAATAATATTCCATATATTTCTAATTGGTTATCAATACTATTTAACCGTTAATAAATATTTTGTATCCGCATCAGGTATCTATAAACTTTGATAATCATTAAATAGCCCCTAAACTATGCCAATTGTATCAATTTACCCCCTTAAAGAAAATAAAAATTAACAAATGAAATGGGCTTCTCTTCTTATACTCTTTCGGGCCAGGCCCATAAAATATTAAGAAAGAACAGCCAGTAGGCCCATCATCAAACCCCCAAAATTGGACGAATCCGAATTCAATTTTGCAACTGTAAAATATGACGAACCCTTTCTCAAAAAAAATAAAAAATAAAAAATAAATAAAAAATTCACGAACCCTAAAAACAAATAAAATCAATTGGAAAGGGAAAGAATAGAAGAAACGCAGACAGAGGGCCTTGTTTTTCCTTCCACATGGATCTTGCGTATAAACATGGTGACGTGGGTCCCACTTCCCACCTCAATTTTCTCCCAAATGTTCAAATTATCAACTCCCCACCTAAAAACCCACTTCAACAACAATCTTTTCCTCATTTAAATCAAATCAATTTTTATTTTTTCACGCAATACATACTGATCAGATGATGGACCTCCAATTCGCCGGAAAGCCCATACCCGCAGCCCGGTGCCTTCCGGGTCGGGCTGACCTGGACCAGATGCCCGACACACCCACCCGCCGAGCCCAACACCGCCGGGCCCAGTCGGAGACCTTCTTCCGATTCCCCGACATCGACGACATCTTCCTCGACGACGTCGTTGCTGAACTCAACCTTGACCTCACCCCTGCACCGCCGCCTCTCCTCTCCGGTGGACCTCCTCCGCCGCCCCAGCCCTCCAAAACCAACGAAACCAGACCCGGAGCTCATTTAAGGAGCCTGTCCATGGACGCCGACTTTTTTGATGGGCTTAAATTGGACGGTCAGCCGCCGCAGGCGGCGGCGGCGGCGGCGGCGGCCGGGGAAGTGGGTCCGGGGCAGAGGAGGCACAGGCATAGCAATTCGATGGATGGGTATTCGAGTGGGACTTCGTCGGAGGTTGATTCTATGGCGAAGAAAGCCATGGCTGCCGATAGGCTCGCCGAGCTAGCCTTGATTGACCCTAAAAGAGCAAAAAGGTTTGACCTTTATATATCTACTCTTCTTCTTGCGTTGACTTTTTTAAATGAACTTAATTACATTAACCAAGATTACTTATTCGTGCTTGAATTATATATATGAATTTGTGCACAAGAGACTTCTTCTTATATGTCACGTGTTGAAGCATTAACCGATAATCGAGTCGAATATTTCGATTTCAAGGAACATTGATCACTAGATTATATGTATTTTGATGAGTAAACTGCAAAAACTACCCCTGTATAATCTCAAAATAGCAAAAACCCCCCTGTGATAAATAAACTAGCAAAAACCTCCCCTGTGAAATTATTTAAATAGCAAAAACCCCCCTATGGAACTATTTGAGGGTTGACTTGATATAAAAAGACACAAATACCCCTGGAGTCTTGCAATGAGTAAATTCTTATATTTTATAAATATTTTAATTATTTTATTTAAAAAATAATCAATTTAGTTGTTTACTATTTTTTTTTAATTTCTAAACAAATAAATTAAAAAGAATAAATATACATATAATATGTATATATATAAATACATTTTGAGGGACAATTTTGTCATTTCAAGTCTAAAAAATCAGCTAGGGGGGATTCTGCCTTTGACTAAATTTCACAGGGGGGTTTTTGCTAGTTTATTTATCACATGGGGGTTTTTGCTATTTCAAGATAACACAGGGGTAGTATTTGCAGTTTACTCGTATTTTGATTATTGTTCGAAGCGCTTGTTATTAGAAGTTTTAGTGTTCACATTTGATTGTCGCGTGCATAAACGTAAATTTTTGAAGTGGGATAAAGGAAATGGTTGATTTCTTTGTAGGATTCTTGCAAATAGACAATCTGCGGCACGATCAAAAGAGCGAAAAATCCATTACACGAGCGAGCTGGAAAGGAAAGTTCAGATACTGCAGACCGAAGCAACCACACTATCTGCTCAGATCACTTTGCTCCAGGTTTGCTTGCTTTACTTTTTCCGGCCTTCATAATTAATAAATTTAGGTATTTGGAAACTCTTGTAATTGCCCGGAAAAAAAAATTGAGAGATAGAAACGCGCATTCATACATTTTCAATAAGTTTATGGTAGACGAGCATTTACTATTTTTCAATAAATAATGCAGAGAGATACAGGTGGATTGACAGCTGAGAACAAGGAACTCAAACTAAAGTTGCAGGCTATGGAGCAGCAAGCACACCTCCGAGATGGTACATACATACATATATATATATATATACACACACACACACACACACACACACACACACACACACACATCTTATGGTGTTTGTGTCGGTCAAGTTCTCGTGTATGGGATAATTTTCTGCAGTGCATAATTTCTTCACGTTTTCTTTTTTCTAAAAAGCTCTGAATGAAGCACTGAGGAACGAACTGCAGAGGCTGAAGATTGCAGCTGGCGAAATTCCGAGTGCCAAATTCCGAGTGCCGATAACGGAAACAACATAGGATTAATATCTCACAATTACTTTCGTAACCACCAGCCACATCAGCAGTAAATTCTTGGGAGGCCAACAACAACAACAACCCTAGATTCAATTGCGAGGATTTCAATCAGATCTATGGTTTCTTGACTTTTAAAATCCTCGGTTTCTTCTCGATATTCGTATTTTCTTGTATACGAAAAAAACAAATGCTCTTGTATATATATAATTATATATATATGTGTATATCAGCTCAAGTTTGTGATGAATGTTTATATATATATATATATATATATATATATATATATATATATATATATATATATATATATATATATATATATATATATATTGATCTTTATTCTTTACATGCATAATATAAGTAATACCAAATCAAAAATTGGAATACAAATACACAACCCAATTAAATAGGGAACACTAATAATTAAATTCGATTTTCAGAGTAATAATACACAAGTTAATTAAAAAATATTTTTTGAATTTTTTCAATTGAAAATTATGTATATGATGATGACGTGTACACCCAAAAAGTGAGGGCCAGACAAAGTTTCACGTACTTGACAGAAAATGGCGCGTGGGAAAAAAGAAATATTAAAAAAAAAGAAAAAGAAAAAAGAATAATCATTGTCGTCCTCGTCAACATCTCTTCTTCTCAGGCATTTCCCGACCAACCAAAACTTTTCTCCTCCTCCTCCCTCAGAAACTCCGAACATAGCAAAAAGACCTAATTGCCCCCCACCACCGGCGGTCAAAAAATTCCCGATGGACTCATCCCCTCTGAACCGCCTCCCTCAAGAAACCCTCCACCAGATCTTCTGCCACCTCCCCCTCCGCCAGATCGCCGCCTCCAAATGCGTCTGCAAATCTCTGAAATCCGCCCTCTCCTCCCCTTCGTTCCTCCACCTCCTCCGCACCCAATCCCAACCCATCCCACTCCTCTCCCTCAAACCCTCCCACCGCCACGTCACCCCACATCCAACCCTCTACGCCTTTGACCCAACCTCCGATCAATGGCTCAGATTCTCCCTCTCTTTCCTCCCCTTCTCAACTCTCCACCCAATCACCTCCTCCAACGGCCTCCTCTACCTCTGGGCTTCCAATCAAAACCCTAGAAACTCCGCCCCCGTCCACAATTCCCAAAAAGCCCTCGTCGTCTGCAACCCTCTCACCGCCCAATTCAAAACCCTCCCCCAGCTCGGCTCGGCTTGGTCCCGCCACGGCTCCGTCTTAGCCGGCTCCCCCAGCGTAGTCCTCGTCCTCACGGAGCTCGCAATTCTCTACCACTCCGGAAACAACAACAACCCTAAAGATCGTACCTTTACCACCACCCCAACTCTGCAGAAACTGAGACCCGTCCGTCGTCCTCCTCCAATTTACCTTCAAAAGCCCGTAGCCCGGTTTAATCTCCGATTTCGTACTCGCGCTGTGCGATGTGGGGTCCCATGGCGGTCACAGTGGGTGATGTTCAAGGCCAAAATCACGAACATGGAGGAGATAGCAATGAGCTGCGTCAGGGTGGAGAAGAGGGAGAGCGGGCGGTGACATTTTCGACATTTTTGAAGCGGCCCCGCCTCGTGAAATCCGGGGGACGAACGGAAAGTTTACATGGTGGGTGGCTTGAAGAGCTCTTACGCACCTGCAGAGCCACGTGCACTGCAATCTTGATACTGAGGCTGGATTTGGAGAGCTTGCATTGGGAGGAACCGGGGCGGATGCCGGTGGAGATGTACAAGTGTTTCGTCGAGAGTAGTAAGTTTAAGGTTTTCGGTGGTGGGAATCGGGTTTGTTTCTCGGCCAAGAGGCTTGGGAAGTTGGCTCTTTGGGAGGCGAATGGTGAGGGAGGAGGGGCGGCCGAGTGGAGGTGGGTCCAGGGTGTACCTGGCGGCGGTGATGGGCTGTGCCGTGGGTTCGCTTTCGAGGCGAGCCTTGATGCTGTTGTTTAGGTGAGTGAGGATAGAGTTTATTGTTATGGGTAATGATTGTTGTTATTTGTTTCTGTTTGTGGGAATTTGAATTGAAATGGTGTTGTTTTTTGGTGAAGTTTGGAAATGTTGTATTATTGCGAGACTCGTCGTGTTTGTTAAGATGTTTTTGCTATGAAATGTTGTTTGTTCGTTTAGGTTGTCCCTTTGATTTGCGTACTTGGATTAACTTAACCTTGATTCGCGCGGTATAATGTGAATGTTTCGTTTATGTGAAGTAGAAGTCGAACTTCCTCTGTTTTAAGATAACTAGGGTGTCAAATTGATACGCGTTGTATAATTGTTGTTCTAGATTCCGTTTTCGTTTGCAGCAATCTTTTAAGATGTCGTTTTTTAAGGTAAGGTTATTTATGTGACGTTATACTTGTCTATCTAGTTTGTTCTAAACAACGATTTTCGATTCTTTGATAGGAAGTTGGTATAATTTCGATCCTGTGTGAGTTCAGTGATGAGTGTTCTGAGGTTTGCATAACTATGGATGTCAATTGTGCTGCTATAATGGTTTTACATAAATTTTGGAATTGAATTTCCATTTGTGGTATAAACATGACCACATGCTTACGTCATCATTACTTCACACTTCTTATGCAGAAAGTAAGCCCATTTCTTTTTGGGCCGGCCCAATTTCATACTGGGCCATTTTATTAATCATAGAGCCAGATATTAATTTTAGCTGTAATTAATAATTATTAATATCTTAAAATAATAAATAAAATCATAAAACAGTCATAAAATTTAGGGCTAGTGACTCGAGAATGGACTGAGATTTCTCCAACTTTTCCTCTTCATTGTTAGGGGGCCATAGTAGTATCCATTGGGCCTAGACACGGCCATGGGGCGGGTCAGGCTCCGGGACGCCAAAACTAACCCGCGGGGAGATGGGGCCGGGTCTGGGTCTCAACCGAATTTTTCAATTTTTTTTTAATTGCGGTGTACCCGTCGGGTCTCGAGTCTGGATATGGGGACCCAAAACCAACCCATAATTTGGCAGGTCCGGTTCCGGGTCAATGGTCTACGGGGCAAAATGAACCCGCGGTTGTGTCTAATTGGGCCTATGCAGGTTGCGATCAATTTTGGGGTATTGATTTTACATAATTTAATTGGGGCTCATAAATTTTTAAATTTATTTTGGGATTTAACATTGAAGCCAGAATCAGCAAGGAACTGAATTCACATAATTAGCAACAAGTTAAAAATGATGATTCTAGATGAGTAAAGAAGTGACAAGCAAATAGATTGACTGATATGATAACCTATATATATATATATATATAGTTTTCCCTTTTATGGGTATTAAATCAAATCATGGAAAAAAACCTTATTCGAATTTGGACTGACTATATTAATTGATAGCATAAAAAGCAAGGGTATTATTGTCATCCAAATCCAATCAATCTGAAATTAATTTGCTAAAGTAGTAAAATGTTGGATAATGGTCCCCCATGTTTGTAATAATGCAGAAAAAGCCACTTATCAAAAAATAAAAATGCAGAAAAAGCCTTGTGGGTATTGTCACATCCAAAGCCCATTCAAACTATAATATTTTGGACTTTTTCCCCCCTATGGATTAAGTTGAAGCCCACTCTCACTGTGTGTGTTTGTGTGTGTCCTGCTTTTTGTTTGTGGGTCCCATTTTTTGCAGCAAATAATTTGTGTGTTTATGTCTGTTTTTTCAGTTGATTAATCATAACATATCAATTATCAACCAGTAGTTTTTCCTACGGTTTCTAACTTTTGCTTCCCTACAGTTATCAATAATCACAATCCAGGAAGGCAGACTTTTAAAACTTGGATATAATTAATTGTATTTTGATTGCATTTTCCTATCATCATTACAAAGTATAATAATGCCTTACTTTCTCTCTCTCTCTCTAGAAATAACATTAGGCTTTATATAATTAGCAATTACAACACACTTAAGACTGTAAATTTTGGATTTGTTCCTTAATCTTTTATAACCGAACTCAAACGTGCAAATAATAAGAGTTAAAAAGTCAAAAGATGATGCTAATTGGGTGAAGGAAAAAAGTCAAAGAGATGGTCGGCTAGGATTGTCGTAAGCATTGAACAGAGTTTGGTGATCTTCCTCGTCCAAGTAGGGCCCGTTTCACTTTGTGGGACCCACTACCTTAAAACTTGGTTGCTCACCTAATTGAGAGAGTACTTCTTGAAAATTATTAATTTCATTTTGCATTTAAATCAAAAGGATATTTTGAATGATTATTACACTAAATAGAAGAATATAACTAGGGGTGTGAACGAGTCAAGTTAGAGCCGAGTTCGAGTTCGACGAGTTGAATTTTTTTGTTCGAGTTCGAACTTGAATGAATTTTAATGATCTCGAGCTGTCAGACAACTATAATCGGGCTCGAGGTGGAGGTCGTCCGAAGTTTGGACTCAAAAAATCCGAGCTCGAATTCGTGCTTTTGTCGAGTCGACTCATTGAGTTCACGAGCCCTAACTCAGCTCGTTTACCACCACTGGTAACACAAACCCAAAAGTTCTAGAAATTGGGAAAGTATTTGGAACTTGGAAAATTTGATTGTGGTGTATCAAATTAATCTTGGGAGAAATGCATTCTTCTCAAGTTGCCACGTTGTCTATATTTTATGGGGAGAAAAAGAAAAAGAAAATAAAGGATTGAGATTCAATTTTGGTAGTGTGCTAATTGCATATAAAATAATCACATCAATTACCAAGATTTGGTTAGCAACTACTAACAAGCCGTCTTTAACAACTGTCAAATAAATACATTATCAATGGGAACAAAATAATAATTAAATTAAAACCAAAATATATATGTGTTCATATTACTAGTTAATTAGATTAACAAATTAATTTTACAGATAAGAGAGACGTTATGTAAATGTAATTGTCAGTAGAACAAATCGATGATGTAATAAAATAAATAATAATGTACTAGACAAATTGAACTAAACTTTTTTCTTTTCTTTTTCTGTTTGACTGCGTACTCTGTTTCCTCTTACGCCCACACCACCACCTTTCATCTTCATCTTCTCTCTCTTACTCTCTCTCTCTCTCTGTTGGCTACATTTTTCTTTACATTTATTGGTTGTTCTAGCTATTATTTAGTTTTTTTCTCGCCGTCGCCGGTGAAGGGGGGTGCCGGAAAAATCGCCGGACGGCCCCTTTTGTTTTTCCATCAGCGAGTAAGTCAAACCTAGTCAATCTGAAGCGTCGGAGGACTCACCATTGGATTTGGAGCTTCGGAAGAGAAGAAATTGGAAATTTTCGGGACTCGTTTTTATTTTTCAGGCTGGGTGTTTTTTTTTTGTTTTCAGATCTGAGTGAGATTGAAGGTGTGGGTTCGGTTTGAATAATTTGAAGGGGGTGCGGGGGAAAGTAGGCGGGGGTGGAGTGGATGGTCGTCGTGCGCGGCGGTGAGGAGGTTGCGGAGCGGTGGCATGATAATGAGCGAAAGGGGAAGGTGGTGGTGGCGGTGGTGTGGAGGTGGTGACTGTTTCACATGGAATGGCAGATCTTGTTAGCTATGCTAATGCCGACCGTGACATCGATCAGGTATATTTTACATTTGTTTTCTCTCTCTAGAATTCATGCACCCACAAATTGAATCAATCGTTTTTTTTTTTTTTTGGTTTTTAACTTGGTAAAAAAAAAAAAACTAATCTAGGTTTTTCAAGAAATGTTCAAATGTAACAGGGCCCTTGATGTGAAATGTGGATGTTAAATCTTGATTCGGAGCTCTTTGCCGATTTTGATTACTTAATAGCTCGTAATTTAACGGGCAATGCTAGTTCGATATATAGCACGTCTGCCCTAATTACTAAATCGATAATTTTTTTATGTTCACTGCTTGTAGTTGGTTCCATATAATGATGATGCGCTCGTTTCTTTGGCTTTCGTGTGTTTTCAAGAAGGGTATGTGATGTTTAAATTTTTGGATGCCTAGTGATGTTCGAAGAGTTAACAAAATCGAAACAAAACGAGACCTTTAGATAATGAATAGCAGTTCACTTAGTTTGACTCCAAAGGTTGCATTAAAATATATATTGATTTTACGAGGGATGATGTAAGGGTGATGTTTCGTTATTGATCCGTTTCTTTTTTGTATTCAGGCACTGATTTCGCTAAAGAAGGGAGCTCAACTACTTAAATATGGTCGTAACGGAAAACCTAAGTCGTATCCATTTAGACTCTCGAACGTAAGGCTAACATACAATATACACAATGGTTACTCGATTAATCTTTTCGACAACATGCTAATTGCTGTTTTTTAATTTGAATGTTACGTTGCAGGATGAAAAAACTTTAATTTGGATTTCTAATAGCGGCGAAAGAACTTTAAAGCTAGCTTCAGTTTCAAGACTCATCCCTGGACAAAGAACCGTGAGATTTCAAATACCGAATATCATGTTACCCGCCGTTCACACTAAATCTATATTGAATTTGAAGTATTTTAATGAATTATACGAACTTGTTAACAGGCTGTTTTCCAACGATACCTGCGCCCAGACAAGGACTACTTATCATTCTCTCTCATATATGACAACGGGAAAAGATCGCTTGACTTGGTCGGTGACTTGGACTTTTGCATTTACTGTTTGTGTATGATTGAGTTTATATCTAATTTATTGTATTATTAGATATGCAAGGACAAGGTTGAGGCAGAAATCTGGATAGCTGGCCTTCAGGCACTGGTATCATCCGGAAAAGCTGGTCGCTCGAAAATCGATGGATGGAGAGACGGAGGCCTCTATTTTGACGTAAATTATTATTTTACATTTATATATATATTTTTTATTTTATAAACGGTTTAACAGTTTAAGTGATGGTTATTGGATAAAATGTTTTCAGGACAACAAAGATTTGACGACAACTAGTCCAAGCAACAGTTCCGTAAGTGCTACAAGAGAAAACAGCTCTCCCGAGGTTTCGATTACTTCAAACATAACCGCTTCACCGAAAAACAACTCGGACAAGTCTCATGTAGTTTCATCAGACCAAACAAACATGCAACTGAAAGGATCTTCGTCTGATGCTGCTGCTGCTCTGAGATTCAGTGTATCAAGTGCTCCCAGTACTTCCAGTCACGGTTCAGCTCAAGACGAAGGTGATGTCTTAGGTGATGTGTATATATGGGGCGAAGTTATATGTGATGATGTCATTACTTCCAATAGCACGAGAACCGACGTTCTCGTTCCTAGGTTGTTGGAATCAAACGTTGTCTTGGACGTGCACCAAATAGCATGTGGGGTCCGCCATGCTGCTTTAGTCACGAGGCAAGGTGAAGTCTTTAGTTGGGGGGAAGAATCAGGCGGAAGGCTTGGACATGGAGTTGGACAAGACGTCACTCAACCTCGTCTGGTCGAAAGTTTGTCTTTTCTGAGCGTCGATTTTGTTTCTTGTGGAGAGTTCCACACTTGTGCTGTCACAAATTCCGGTGAAATCTACACATGGGGTGACGGCACGCATAACGCGGGCCTATTGGGTCATGGCAATGATGTCAGCCATTGGATACCGAAGAGAATCACGGGCCCACTCGAGGGGCTTCAAGTTGCATTCGTCACTTGTGGGCCATGGCATACTGCTTTGATAGCTTCGACAGGTCAGCTTTTTACGTTTGGGGATGGAAATTTCGGAGTTTTGGGGCATGGTGATAGGGAAAGTGTTTCCTACCCGAAGGAAGTTGATTCCTTGACAGGGTTGAGAACTATAGCAGTTTCGTGTGGAGTGTGGCACACTGCTGCTTTGGTGGAGGTTATTGCAGCGAATTCTACTACAAACGTTCTGTCTGGGAAACTGTTCACGTGGGGCGATGGAGACAAGAATCGGTTAGGACAAGGTGACAAAGAGCCTCGTCTGAAGCCTACTTGTGTTCCTGCATTAATAGAGTTCAATTTCCACAAAGTTGCGTGTGGCCATAATATGACAGTCGGTTTAACCACATCGGGAAATGTTTTCACAATGGGAAGTACTGTCTACGGTCAGCTCGGAAACCCTCAGTCAGATGGAAAAAAACCAGTCTTGGTCGAAGACAAGCTCGCACACGAAACAGTCGAAGAAATTGCTTGTGGTGCGTATCATGTGGCTGTACTAACATCGAAAAACGAGGTCTACACGTGGGGTAAAGGAGCTAACGGGAGTTTAGGACATGGAGATGTAGAAGACAGGAAAACACCTACTCTAGTCGAAGCTTTTAAGGACAGGCATGTTAGATTTATTGCATGCGGGTCGAATTACTCTGCAGCTATATGTCTCCATAAGTGGGTTTCGAGTGCCGAGCAGTCACAGTGCTCGTCTTGTAAGCAGGCTTTCGGTTTCACGAGAAAGAGGCACAATTGCTATAACTGTGGACTTGTGCACTGCCATGCTTGTAGTTCAAGAAAGGCAGTAAAGGCAGCATTAGCACCTAACCCTTACAAACTTTACCGCGTGTGCGAATCTTGTTTTACAAAACTGTCCAAGGTGGCAGAATTAGCTGGAGCCAATAGCCGGAGAAACAGCGTGCAACGTCTTTCTGGAGAAAACAAGGATAGATTGGATAAGGCCGATCTGAGGTTTGCCAAGTCAGCATCGATGCTGCCTTCTAACATTGATTTGATCAGACAGCTGGATACGAAAGCAGCTAAACAAGGAAAGAAGGGCGATACATTCTTTTTAGGCCGAACCTCTCAAATGTCTGTTGATTTTCGTAGAACTGTGCCACGTCCGACAATTACCACTACGCCATCCGGTGTTGGATCAAGAGCCGTGTCGCCCTTTTCGAGAAAATCTAGCCCTCCTAGATCTGCAACACCCGTCCCTACAACATCTGGGCTGTCTTTATCCAAAAGTAGTACAAATAGTTTGAAGAAGACCAATGAAGTCCTAAATCAGGAAATTCATAAGCTACGTTTGCAGGTATATATATTTATTTATCGCTAATGTTTCGATTTTTAATCTCTCTCTCTCTCTCTCACTCCCTCTCTCTAACTTTTGTGACTATTTAACTCGGATTTAGGTAGAGAGCCTTATAAATCGATGCGAACTGCAAGAATTGGAGCTCCAAAGTTCAGCAAAGAAAACCGAGGAAGCAATTGCGTTAGCTGCAGAGGAATCTGCTAAGTGCACAGCTGCTAAAGAAGTTATTAAGTCTCTTACAGCACAGGTTAACTTCATCCTTGAATCTATTTTGTTTATTCTGTCAAATATGTCAATAAATAATTTAAGTATTAACCTTCGTTAGTTTTTTATGTTTCCAGGTCAAAGATATGGCTGACTTGTTACCACACGGGGCTTATGACCACGAAAGCCTCAAGTTGGTAAACCTGCCGAACGGCGTACAGCATCCACGTAACGATTCTATAAGTATTCTGTCTGTAAGGAGCAGCATGTCCGAAGATCTTGGCAGTAAAGATTGTGGGCCCCACCAAGAAGTCGAAAACATCTTGAAATCAAGAAACGTGGCGGTTTCTGATAATAATAATAATAATGCTAATAATGCTGGTGGCCAAACGGAAAACGAATGGATTGAACAATACGAACCTGGTGTGTATATAACACTTGTAGCTCTTCAAGATGGAACTAGAGATCTAAAACGTGTTCGCTTCAGGTAAAATGACATGGTTTCGACAAAATTTCGTTATGTTTACAGAATTTTGATCGAAAGGTTAAGAAACTCTAATTTTTTTTAATTTTTTTTTTTCTCAGTCGGAGAAGATTTGGAGAACAGCAAGCGGAGAGTTGGTGGTCGGAGAATCGAGGAAAAGTCAACGAGAAATACAATGTGAGGGGATCGGACAAGTCATCTGTTTCGGGGCAGGCAGCTTGGAAATCGGAGGGAGCATTTTCACCTTCTTCACAAATTTAGATTAAGACAACTGATGATTGATTGTTCAAAAGTGTGTTTTGTTCTTAAAAATGTAAGATGCTTACTGTTAGTGTAGTTTTGTCAGATCAATTGGAGGAATTCAATTTTGTCTTTTTTCCCTATTTTCTTACCATCTTTTTTCAATTGATTTTTAGAATTTATTTCTTTACATTTTATTTAAATTTACTGAAAAAGAAATAATAATTACATTAATAATTTCATAAAGTTCTTGAAATAGAAATTTGCCGCAACGGCGCCGTTTCGACTTCAATTTGGAATCCTTTTATTTACGCGGGAAAACTCCATCTCCGTTCTCCAAAGCTCAACCTCTGAATCTTGATTCGTTGGAGAGAGAGAGAGTAAAAACCCCTCATAACAAAAACCCCTTCACGAAATCAAATCAAACCAAATAAATTTCTTGAATTGTTTCTTCACCACCGCAAAAAAACCCTGAAGAAACACATTAAATTTCAAGAAATGTATCATTCTTCCGTCAAATTAATCTGGGCCCTATCGATCTTCTTCTTCTTCTTCTTCGCACTATCTTTCTCAAACCCTATCTTCCCTTCAACCAACATCACCCTATTCGGCGACGCTTCACTCAACTCCAGTTCCGTCATCCTCACCAAACAAAAGAACTGCACCACCTCCTATCCACCGCCGCCGCAGCCACTCCTCCAGCTCCCCGCCGCCACCCTTTCCACCGTCGGAAGAGCATTCTACGCAAACCCCCTTCGTTTCCTCGACCCCAAATCCAACGCCACCGCGTCTTTCTACAGCAGCTTCACTTTCACCATCACCAACACCGACTCATGCCCCTTCGGCGATGGCTTCGCGTTTCTCATCACTCCAACCACCACTTACTTCAGCCTTGAAGACGGTTACATGGGCCTCCCACCGGAAAACGAGGCCTCCCCCTCCGGTCAAGATTCCTATTTCGCCGTCGAATTTGACACCAATTTCCACCCCTATCTCGAGAACATCAGAGGAAGTCACATCGGCATTGATGTGAACAGCGTCCACTCGTTGGCTTCAGTTGATGTAGATCTCATCAAGAACGGCAAAGAAATGACAGCCTGGGTTGAGTACAGAGATTCCGAGAAAAAAATCAAGGTGTGGGTATGGTATGCCAAGCAGAACAGGCCCCTCGATCCTATCCTCGTTACACGGATTGATTTATCCAAACAATTCAAGGAGTTCATGTACGTTGGATTCACCGCTTCAAACGGCGGAGGAAAAGGCTCGTCAATTCACACAGTCGATAAGTGGCGATTCAAGACATTTTTCGGCAATCGACCACCTTCCAACACAACACTAATGGATATAGTAGTCTCACAAGGTGGGGAGGAAGACTGTTTGCTGTGCCCCCATCGTAATACAGCCGTAGAAATCGGCTCCTACTATTATCACCGTCCCAATACAACGATCCTAAATTTGGTTCTAATCTTTGGTGGATTTGCAGCAGCTGCAATTCTGACAGCAGCAGTTATCGTCGGTTTCTGCGTGTGCCTTACGAAGAGGAGAAGGCTGAGGCGAGCACAAAGGGAGAGAGAAATGCGTAGGTTTCGTGGTGGAAGAATGGTCCCACATATGTTATCACTCAATGAAATAAAATCAGCCACCAATGGATTCAACGAGGATAAGATCATAGGCGAAGGAGCTTCGGCCGTAGTATACGAAGGTGCGATCCCTTCGTGTGGATCGGTGGCGGTGAAGAGGTTCAATCACGAAAACAACTACGAATCTTCGATCTCGCAAATCCCATTCAACACAGAGTTTGCAACAATGGTGGGATGCTTGAGGCACAGGAATTTAGTACAGCTGCAAGGGTGGTGCTGCGAGAAGAACGAGCTGATTCTGGTTTTCGAGCGAATGCCTAACGGAAGCCTCGACAAAATCCTCCACAATCGGACGAATTTGACAAAGTTTCTGACTTGGGAGCGGAGATTGAACATACTCCGCGGGGTTGCTTCTGCTCTTATACATTTACACGAAGAGTGCGAGAATCAGATAATCCACAGAGATGTGAAGACTTGCAATATCTTGCTGGATTCTGAGTTCAATGCCAAATTGGGGGATTTCGGATTGGCGGAAGTGTACCGGCGGGGTTCGACGACGAGGTACGCTACGGTGCCAGCTGGCACGATGGGGTATCTAGCTCCAGAGTATGTGTTTTCCGGCGTGCCGACGGTGAAGACGGACGTGTACAGCTTCGGGGTGGTGGTGCTGGAGGTTGCGACGGGGAGGAGGCCGGTGGACGAATCTAGGGCTGCGATTACGGATTACGTGTGGGATCTGTGGGAGAAGGGGGTGATTTGTGAGGCGGCGGATGCGAATATGATTGGAGGGTTTGAGAGGAAGGAGATGGAGGGGGTTTTGATGGTGGGGCTTTTGTGCGCGCATCCTGACTGCGGGAGGCGGCCGACGATGATGGAGGCGGCGAGGATGCTCAGGGGGGAATCGCCGGTGCCGGTGTTGCCGGCGAAGAAGCCGACTATGAGGATTCAGTCTGTTGTTCCGGTTGAGAGTGTGAGTTTTGATGATGAAACGACGCCGTGGTCAACCCCCAAAACACATTTTAGCAGGAGGTAGTGTGTGTGTGTGTGATCGGGAGGAAGAAATGCACGCAGATACACACACTTGCACGTGTAATGATGAATTCGTGTATCGAATATTATAAAATTCTGTTTGCTTGTGAAATGATTTTGATTGGTTCTGTTACTGTAAACATCGATGTTCTATGTTGTAGACACGTGTCAAGCCATTCCGATTATAATGTTTCAAAAATAATTATAAAATTCCAAAACTAAAATAACTAATATTATAAATTGAAATGCTAAATCCCACACTTGTTTTTACCAAATTTTGCACATAACTAAAAATATTTCTCTCACTAAAATCTTTTTTTCTCCTTCCCTACACTTCTTCTTTTTCCCTAACTTTTTTCACAAAATCACACACTAAAAACATCCCTAGCATTCCAAGTTCGAATTTAACAAAAAAATTTCACATGTTCAAACTAAAATAAAGATGGAATTTGAGGAAAAAATTCGAATTCATATGAATTTGAATAATTAAAAAGGCTTTAATGAAATTAAATAAATATTAAATAAAATGGAACTCATTTTTTATGATTATTCACGTAAAAAATTAATGAATTTTGAGTGACTTGGATAAAATTATTTTAGAGAGAAGCTAGAGAGAAATTAAGTAGAGAGGGATTTTTTTTTTAATTTATGTGTGGGATTTAGTAAATTTTAGTGTAGGATTTAGCACACCTATATTATAAATTATAGTAATATTTTAAAAATAACAGTAATGATTTCAATTGCAGTAGCCACCTATTTTTAAATACTACACAATTTTATTCCAAATATATTTATACATAATTACAATTTCAATCCAAAAAATAGGAAAATATCACATATTGGAATTTTAGAAATTAGAATAAAAAAAATTGTTCCGAAATTGACGAAAATTGGAAATCCATAAAATTGTGTCATGATTACATAAATTTGTTAGTGGGTGTGAAAATTAAATTAAGCTACATATGGGCCCAGAATTGTCCGGTATAATAATATTAATATTAATAATAAGATAAAATTCCATGGGCTACATTGAGATTGGCCCAGCCTATATTTCCCCAACTTCTATAGATCGTGAAGCCCCTTTCCCGGCATCAACACTAACCACCAAACCCTAGCTGTATAAATTGTAATTCCGGCGTTTACACACTAATTATTATCCCCCGCATAATGAAATTCATCTACAAAATTTTCTCTGTTTATTTATGGTGTTTTGATCTATTTTTTCGCAGATCGCTTTTTTATTTTTATTTTTATTTTTCTGAGAAAGCGTCCCGATGATGGAAAAAATATGAACATTGAAGCGGTTTCGATGGTTTCGGATTCTTCTCCGGCATGTACACAGCACTTTGAATAATCAGCCGCCGCCATTTTTCTCATTCAAAAAAAAAAAAAAATGTACGCAGATACACACACTTGCACGTGGCGGTTGGTTGATTGTTTGTTTATTGTGGTGTGTATAAGGCCGCTGCTGAATCCCTCCATCCTACTTCTTGTGATCTGTTAAAGCTATGAGATCTGAGGGACTTCTTTTTTTATTTTTTTCATTTTTTTAATTAGTTGTCTAATTCTGTATTTATGCTAATCAAGTTCACACATTTTGCTTTCAAAATGCAAAGTAGCAGTTTTTTTTAACTAATTAATTTTTAGGTTAAATTACACCCACACCCCTGATGTATGTTTAAATAATTTTAAGGTCCCTGTGGTATTGATAATTACACTTTCCTCTAAAATGTAGTTAGAAACTCTAATGGGATTATACATTGGATACGTTAGGTTCTAACGGATTATTAGTTTCAAGTAGTTGCGGAAGGAGCCATGTCACCCCTAAATCTATGTTCGAATAACGTATTTAGTGTATTATCCCTTTCTAACTATGTTTAGGACGGTAAGAGTAATTATTTAAATATAACTTAGACGTGTTGGTGTAATATACCCTAATTTTTATCGATTGATATTATTTGTAAAGAGAGTTAATTGACTAAAATGTGTGTTAGTAGTAAAATTGTGTGAATTTGTTTGATGTTATACTATTGTGTTATAATAAGCTTGAAAATCTTGTGTGGGGAGAAGACAATATACTGTTGGCCTACAAGAGTGTGATTGATGAGTCTGGAATAAGTAAAATGCTAATGCCAGATTCTTGGATTTAGTCAGTATTGAAGCATTCAAAGGTGGGGGAAGAAGATGGTTGGCCTGTTGTACTCTTGGCATTAGATGTGGGACCCTGTATGTTGTCATCAGATGCAATGAAAGATGACTTTTGTACATTAGTTATAAGGAACAAGCCTTATCTTGTTGTCACGTCATTAATATTTTATTATTTTTTTTTACTAAAATACAAATTAAATATTTCAAGAAGTTGTGGATAATGAAAGCAAAATGCCAACAGCAGAGCTTGATGAAGCAGTTGATGTGTGTTATACATTTGTACCTATTTTAATTATATTATTGTGAATTTATTACTATATTTTTTTTATTTAATTTATTTTTCGTCTATATTAAATAAAAAGAGTGCAGTCCTGTCTTGGTATCTGTGACATCGAAATCAATTTTAAAATCGTGCTTCTTTGGCTAATGACATATCCCTAATCTCACTGTACCACAAATAGAATTAGCCAAAATATTCGTAATTCCTTTACAAAACTCGAATTATATATTTATTTATATATAAGTACCAACTATTGGGTTCATTAATAAAAAATCATGTGACATCTATTTATTCTGTACTAGTTGGCTACTAAGCCAGTCGAGCAGGTGGACAATTGGATGATAATCAATTATAACTAGAATTTCGATAAATTAATAATTGTTTTTAATTATTACTTTTTACAGTTTCTACTTCAAAAAACATACTAAATTATTATTTAAACTTGCTAATTAGTAAAATTTTATTAGTCTTTGACCTTAATTCCTCAATAAGTAAATAGCTTAATTGTGTGATAATTACTTTGAGGTAGTTGAATATCTTTTCTTGGATTTTGTGAGCCCGCGTATCGAAGTTCTGCATAGAAAATGAACTAAAAATAAAAAGCTGTGATTAAAATAGATATATAAATAATGAGTATAATATATATATATATATATATATATATATATATATATATATATATATATATATATATATATGCAGCAAATATAATTTATGGATTTCCATATATTCGGATGTGTTTTAATTTAGGTTGATTTATGAACTCAATGTTGTCTTGGAAGAAGCAAACCACACGTGGACCAATTAGTTTAAATTTACCCTAATAATAATAATTAATCAAGTGTTTAGTGTCAGATTTGTTTAATAAAACCAGCTAATATTGTCTTGTTGTTGTTTATTGTGCACAATTGCCAGCAGGTTATTAATTAAATTTTAAATCGTGTTTATTTTATCAAAATAAAATAAATAAATAAAATTAAGTGGTGCTGTCTGCCAACTACAGTATATGTTGTGCATCTTTCACCTGACCGGTCAATGGTCATGGCTACAAGTCATATTAAAAATACATTAAAAATATATTTACAAAAATTTATATTTAATATTAAAAAAAAGGAAAAGAAAAAAAAAAAGAATATTGGTAAAAACTTTTGAATGTGTCAAGAAGGGAATAAAGAGGGCACGAATTATCTATTACGCGCCATCCAAGACCAAGCTCACCCTCGTCACACCCAACGCTGAACTTTTTGACTTCCTCTCGAATATTCCTTTTTTCCTTTTTTTAATTATTTATTTATTGTTATTTGTAAAATAAAATGGCTAAATCCAATTTTACACCCCTAAACTTCTAAAATATCGTTTGTAACATTTACCCATAGACACAATTTAATTTGTATTTGAAATTCTAATACCTTAAAATTTTCTTTTTATAAAGAAATAGCTAAAAGAATTAATTACATATTATTTTTGCGTTGGGTACATATTTAATAAATAACATCTGGTTATTGTTGGACCAATTAATTGAATATATTCATATCGGTAAATTTTAAGAAATCAATAAATAAGTAATAGTAATCTTAAGTATTTCAATTTATTTCAGTTCATTAATTTCTTAAAATATATTTACATTCATTATTATACAATATACATTACTTTTTTTCCAATAACTTAATTTTATTTTTTTTTCATTTTATTATGATCCAATTGTTATTAGATTGTTATGTTTATTATGTTTTAAATTTTAAAATATACAATAGTTAATGTTGAGGGGTCAGTGTTATAAATACTTTAAGGAGGTAAGTGTTACATAGACTATACTTTATGGGTGCAAAGTGTATTTACCCAAAATAAAAATAAAATAAATTCAATAACTTCACAAAGCCCACGTTGTCATTGGTAGATGAAGGTGGTCTGAAATGAGTTGTCTAATTAAATTTAATCATTTAAAAAAAATTATATCTAACAATTTTTAGTAAATAAAAAAAAATGAAATCTGAATATTCATAGCTCGAATTTATTTTTGTTGAAAATAATTCGTACGATGGAATTTCAGACATTTATTAAAAGTTATCCGATATTTACCATTTAAGTTAGGAAAAAAAAACTCAAATATTTGATTTATTCTTAATTCATTTCAATAGTGTAAAAACCAAAATCCTTGTTAGAAAAATTGGTAGAATAATACTATTTAGAGTTGAAATAAACTTTGTAGAAATTTGAATAATGATTTGTATCCAGTCTTTGCATTTTTCATATAAAGTTGAAGTAAATATAATTAGATTAATTATTTAGAAATTTAAATTTAATTACATGAAATATTAAATTTTAAATTAGTAAAAAAGTGAAAAAGAAGGGTAATTTTGGAAAAGGCCAAAAATAAGGTGAAACATTTTGACTCGGCACAGACACGAATTGGACACGCCTTACTTTATTACAAGTGGGCCATGGCCCAATAACCGCTATTACTTGTATTTGCACAAATTCGTCTAGATGGATGAAGCAGTCAAAAGACCATATCACACATACATACATACACCTTTTATAAAAATATTTTAATTAATATATCATACAATTATTAAAGAATTTAATTTTAATTAATTATATATATATATATATACAAAATACAATATAATAAAAAATAGTGCAGTATTGCTACAGTGTGAATGTGAGAAGACCTTTTCTCAATAAATAAAAATGAATATTCTGTTTTCCTTCTTCAACAAACCAAATACGCGGTCCAAATCACCCCCAATATAAGCCTCTCCTCTTCATTAGGGTTACAAAACATCCTCCTCTCGTCTCTTTCTTCTTCTCAATACACACTCCTCATATTTTTTTTTTTATTAATCCTTGCTCTCACTCATCTGAAATTCAATCGCGGTTTTAATTTGATTCACAAAGTCTGTGTTTTTTCCATTTTTTTTTCCGTAATTGGAGATTTTGTGAGGGTGATAAATTATTGAAATTCGATCTGCACTTTGTGTGTCTGTAACGGTTCTTCGATCTTCTCAGTTTAATCCGGATTTTTTTCCATCACAAAAGGGGAAAAATCGTGGAAATTCTGTTTTTTTTTTCTTTCAAAGTTTAAATTCCGGTTGTAATTTCTGTTATATGTGAGCTGAGAGATGCCAACAACAGATTTGCACGAGCCATCTTCATCGTCGTCTTTTTCAGGGTTTGGGTTTTCGATTTTGAGCAGACGCCGTGATCAAGTTCACTCAATGGAATCCACGCACGGGGCTAACACCGGCCAAGAAGTTGAATTGGAGTTCTTCCAGAAACAAGTTGCCGACCGCTTTCAAGATTTAGCGTCAGCCGATTCCGATGAATTGCTCTCAATCCCCTGGCTTCGCAAGCTTCTAGACGCATTCCTCTCTTGCCAAGAGGAATTCAGAGTTATTGTTCTCAACAACAAGACCCTATTGAGCAAGCCCCCGATGGATCGGTACATCGCCGATTTCTACGAGAGGAGCGTAAAGGCTTTGGATGTATGCAACGCCATTCGCGACGGGATTGAGCAGATCAGGCAGTGGCAGAAGCATTTGGAGATTGTTTTATGTGCTCTGGACAATCAGAGGATCATCGGCGAAGGGCAATTTCGTCGTGCGAAAAAGGCCCTTGTCGATTTAGCCATTGGAATGCTCGATGAAAAAGATTCCAACACGACTCTTGGCAGTAACAGGAATCGTTCTTTTGGGCGTAATAATGTGCAGAAGGAGTCGAAAAGCTTAGGCCACTTCAGATCACTGTCCTGGAGTGTTTCCAGGTCTTGGTCTGCTGCTAGACAGCTTCAAGCAATCAGTAACAACTTGGTTGCTCCTCGAGCGAACGAGATCATGTCCACAAACGGGCTTAATTTGGCTGTTTTCACAATGAATTACGTGCTATTATTCGTGATGTGGGCTCTTGTGGCTGCAATCCCTTGTCAAGACCGTGGTCTTCAGACACATTTCTATGTTTCGAAGCAGTTTTTGTGGGCCGGTCCGATTCTTTCACTCCATGAAAGAATCCTGGAGGAGTCGAAGAAACGGGACAGGAGAAATGCTTGTGGGCTGTTGAAGGAGATTCACGAGGTTGAGAAATGCGCTCGCCATTTGAATGAACTGACCGATTCTGTTCAGTTCCCAATGACAGAAGACAAGGAGAGAGAAGTGAAGCAGAGAGTTCAAGAAGTGGGAGTTGTTTATGAAGCTATAAAGTATGGGCTGGATCCGTTTGAACGCGAAGTTAGGGACGTGTTCCACCGAATTGTGCGCAGCAGGACTGAGGGGCTCGACTCAGTGGGCCGGGCAAATAATGATTGATGAATTTGAGCTTTTATATGAGTTGAAGTAGATTGTGGTAAGTGGTACTTGATAATTGTTTTCTGAATTTAGGTTTTCTTTTTTATATATAGGAAGAGAAGGATGTTTAAAAGTCTTGTATTTATCACTTGATAATCAAAATGATGTAAAGAAATTAGGAAGAAAAATGGACCTTATGCTCTGGTCCATGGTGCTATTGTTCCATCTATTTGTTTTTGTATAATGAAATTTCCGAGTAAATTTGTGCACGACTGCGTTACCAATTATGTAATTATTTGGTTAGATGGTTAATATCACCGAAAAGTGAACCAAGAATCGCAGTTCTACATTTCAATGTCTCTCGATTACGGAATTAGCCCGATGTATTATGCAATATTTTTTTCTTTTCTCTCACTAGAAATGCCGAGCTGTCACCACTCACACCACAAGTAGTTGCTTTCATGTATTTCTAACAATCAAATTCCTATGAAGAAGTCTAACAAAGAAAGAATTGGATTTGTTCTCAAACTGATATTTTTTCAGCTTGCTCTGTTTTGAATGAGTGAAAGAAGGAAAAAGTCTTAATATATTAGTCCAAGATGTGAATCTTGGAGCCGACCCCATTTCGAAAGGACGTTTTTATAGACCAGGACCAAGTTTTGAGGTGAGTCGTATTTTACTGAATTTCTAATTCAAGAAACAGAATTTCTTCGTTTGCTGTTCGCATTCACGTTTATATCGTCGGAAATGTTGAAATGTGTTTGAGGTTAATAATTTGATTCCATTCAAATACGACAACCCACATGCTTATTGAAGATGAAGGTAGTGGTTATAATATCTGAATACACCTTTCGATCGTATAATATCTGAACTGATAACCGATTACTCTGGCCTTAAGTTTAATGACAATAAATAAAGCATTTAATGCTAAAAGTTGTTTTTTGTGGTTTAGCAGCGCAGATCTAGTCTACATAACATGCAATTATGGGACCGTGAGCTGGACTTGGTATCTTTATCTTTATTATTGAAAAAGATGGATGCTCACCTGACAAGCTGTATGTATCATGGCCCTATATGTATGTATTTGCTGCTATCGAAGTTTTTCACCGTAAGTTTATTTTTTCACAGTTTATCTATTATTCTAAATGGTAAATTACATCGTTAGCCTGCTTACAAAGTTTTGATATTGGAATATTCTTACGAGAAAACTTTGGAAGAAGCATTGTGGGGAACTTGTTGATTAGTTATTTAAAGTGTAGCTTTCCCTCCCGCCGAAGCTATAATAAGCAATTGTTGTTACATTGACAAGCTAAGAATATGTGCTTTGCTTTTTTTTTTTCTCTGCACACTTGGTTTTCTTTTCTCAAATAAAAACTGCCGTTTCCCTCGTTATTCCAATTCATTGGTTGTGAAAGAATGGAGATGGAATTAGGACTCAAGTTCACTAGGGTAGCCGATGAATTCACGTCTGATTTTCAACTCATGAAAGACCGTGCGGGCCCTCTTTTCTTGTCCCGAGAAACAGACTCCATGTTTATCCTCACTGCTCATCTCAAAGGTTTTTTTTTTTTTGTTTTTTTTTTTTTTAATATAATTTTTTTTATAGCCCTTCTATGTTATGTAATTATTTGAAAAAAATTCGTGTTTTTTTTGGTGATGTTAGCAGGTTATAAGAGAAGAAACATAAGGATTGACATAAACGAGGATGCGACTTTAGATTGACATAAACGAGGATGCGACTTTAATTGCAATAAGCGGCGAAAAGCAGGTGAAAGAGACTGTAATGGTGGGGTGGCAAGTGGTCAAGAAAGGTACAGAGACGAAGGTATTCAAGAAAGTGTTCAAAATCCCAGATGGCGTATTTTTGGACAAGATCAAGGCCAAGTTTAACGAGGACGAATCAACTCTCACAATCACAATGCCGAAGAAGGTGAAAGGAATAAGAGGGACCCACATTGAAGAAATTAAAGAAAATCAAGAGCTCGTTAAAGAGGGATCGTCAAATTTGCAGAATC